ATGGAACAATGATTTTTGAGAGATCTTGGTAGCATTCGAAACAGCATTTCATTCTCTTTCTAATGGTAATAAAACTGTTGCAAAACAGTCAATGACCTTTCAGAAAATCACCAAGATTTGCGACCTATGCTTTTTGAGATAGTCAAGTTTCACAATTTTTTAGAACTTTCATATTAGTTCTCAGAAGAAGCTCAAGCGACGGTTCGATAGAGCAAACCCCATAGAATACAGTGCAGCTTTTTTTGTCTTTTCCATAGCTTGTCATACATTTTGAGCAGAATTTTAACTGATGCTACCAATTCCCATACTTGGAAGCTAAATCCTAGTAGAACATCAAAACTTGAGCAGCTCGGGTGTCATTCGATGCAGGCTTTTTCTCCTCTTTCTAATGGGTGCTTTTTGTTTCCGATTCATTTAGTTTCTGGGGATAAAATCATCGTAACTCAATTTTTTAGCGAGCCCCAGGCTGTGCCCGAAAAACTCGAAATTTGATATTTCGAACCCGTAAACCCTCATTTGCTTTGTAAAATTAATGCTAACTCATAGTACCATCTTGGTAGTCTCAAATTCCGAAAAATTATGATGTTTGATGCGATTGTGGTTGAGGTGGGCCTGCCAAAAGGTTGAGGTGTGCCCGATGGTGCTGTTAAAAATCTTTTAAAAAATTACGGCGAGCTATGAGAAGGGGAAAAAAGTAACACTGCATTCTATTATACAAGAATTACTCTATCGAATCGTTACTTGAACTCCTTCCGAGGATTAATATGTAAGGTTTGAAAAATTGTGAAACTTGACCATCTCAAAAAGCATGGGTCGCAGATTTCGGTTATTTTTGAAAGCTCATTGACTATTTTGGAGCAATTTCATAATCATTAGAAAGAGAATGAAATGCTGCATCGAATGCTTTCAAGATCTCTCAGAAAGCTTTGTTCCATCAGGTATAGCGCCTGTTTGAAAAAAGCGAAATTACTTTCGGAATGACCTAATATATTTGAAGGTAAGTAATCTACAATACTTTGAAAAATTTAATATAATCGTCTAGATCGATGTATGACATACATCTTTATTCAGAAAGCTTTTCTTCTTACTTACTCAATTTCCTGGAATCATGCTTTCTAAATTCATACGCATACTTTTTACTCCTAAACAAACTTACTTCTCAGTATTTGAAAAATAAGTTTTACAGTCCTTGCTTTCTTTTTGAAGAGTTCCGGGGAAGGTCCGTATTACCACTCCGTCTAAAAGCGAGAACCAAACGGAGCCTTTTGGTTATTTACACATTGTGAATCAAATTCTTATTATCATTATCGATTAATAGATCCAAGGAGTCTTTCTTATAATTTCTACTTATCCGACAATTTATCGTGATCCTCAAAAACTTCATGCTACTACATAGGTTTGTAAACAGGCTAAATATAAACTAGCTAATAGCCATTTGAGGCTTATTCACTTTCTATTTCCTACCTCAAAAGATATTGGCACTATCAAAGAATGGTAGACTCATCTAAGCTCTGGATAAATCACTCAACAACTACTCTATTTTAGTGTAAAGCGTTTACACTCTCAGCTTTTTTTTTGTTCAAGGGTTTTTTCTTTGTGTGCTTGACCTTTATTGTTTTTTTTTCGCCCATATGTTCGTTTGCGCGAATTTTGAAAAAAAAATCAAACAAAACAGTGGATAAGGGCGATGCCTTTAGACTTATAAAATGGTGCAGTATTCAGTGAAGATGAATTTGAAACAGTATTTGACTATAGTTTGATATCATATAAAACCTGCTCTAGGAAATTCTTAGGATCATTTTGACGTTGTTACTAACTTCAAACAAGAATCTCCCAAACTTATATTTGTTAATCTATAACGATTTTTCCCACAATTCAAAATCATTTTCTTTGTCTGAAATAATGTTTATTCAGAACCTATATGTAGTATAAGTGCTCTTGTATAAGGATTACGAGTGAAGATATTTCTACAATCAGTCAGATGAACATTTGCCAAGATTACAAACAGCCGAACTTGAAATAATTTAGTTAAAGGTTTGTATATTTATTAAAAGCTAAGATTTTGTATATACTAACACTTTTGATTTGGATTTGGGTAATGTCGTGTTTTTCGGCTTGTTAGTGCCACTTATAAGATTATTAATTCAATTTACTATTTTTTGGTGTTCATATGGTGTGAGAACAGACTACACGGATGTATGTAGGTAATTATTTGTCTTTTCCAAAAAATTGTACAGTGATTTGCTTTGACGATTTTCCAAAGGCCTATGCAGATTTTCAGATTCTTTTCCTAGCAGGGCTCGGCACGAGGTGGCTAGATGAAAATGGAAAAAACGAAGTCCCCCTTGACTTTTTGGTATTTTTACGAAGTCCCATTTGACCCTCAACCAAATTTCCTCTAAAAACCTGAAAAATTCCCCAAAATCCCCCAAAAAAAGAAACGTCAACTAAAAAAAAAAAGGTCGCCGTCGCCAATTTTCCGTGTGTCTTCGGTCACAAAAACGAAACCCCCTTTGCTTTTCGTCCCAAAAACGATATCCAGCTTGCTTGTAAGCCACCTCGTGCCGAGCCCTGTTTCCTAAAAGCCCATCGAAAATACTCAAACCTCCTATAGAAGTGGAAACATTTCAAGTGTGCAATTGCAGAGCGAACTTTTTCCTCTTGTGGTCGGTTCGAATTCAGCCGTATGATTTAGAATGGAACATATGCCGGGCTTTTACGAGCAAAACATTCGAAAACTTCTTTCATTCGTCTTCGGCCGCTTATACTAAACTATAGAGGCGGATTTCGTACAATCGTTGTCGTTGATTTTTCTTCTTGACATAGTTTCGGTTAGGCGGATCCTCAAAGGATCCAAAAAGTAGTCAGCGAACATTCTACGCATTCATGCGTCAAACACCAGATCGTCCTTTGGCTCATTGTCGTATGTAAATATTTGTGGATCATCCAAAGTGCTGATGAGTGTCTTGGAGCGGTTGTTTCGGACAGCTTTTTACACTTGAAAATGAATTCTTTGAATTCCGATTACTCCTACAGTTTTTTCCCTTTTCTCTCTTTCTACGAGTCAAATTAAACAAAAGATGCGAATCAGCGCCTGCAAGACAGATTTTTCTCCTCAAAGCTTTGCTCTCTCAGTGCCATCTGCTCCAAATCTCACCGTGAGAGAGCAATTCGCCAATTAATGGCTCCGTTCCCTAAAGCTTCTTTGTCTGCGCAAATTACACGTATACACACCCCGGACCCTTCATTATTTTTCGTCAGCACATTGACATCCGTCTATTGCAACGTTTTTTATGATTGATAGGCTCGGATTTTTTTCCTTTATCTCCTGAATAGTAGGTACTAATATATCTTAGAATCTATTATTTAAAGAATCGTAACCCGAATTCAAAAAACATCAGGCAGCGGAAAACCACGGTGCGTTTCCGAAGCGCTCGAATGCAATCCACACCTTTAATTACTGATTCACTAGCCTATTCTAATAAATAAAGAATCGTAAGGTGCATTCAAAAATAATCAGATAGCGGGATACCGAGTGGGTCCCAAAGCAAGCGCGCCTTCTAGCAACTTTGCGATTACTGATTCACTAGTTATATAAAGAATCGTAACTGCAATTCAAAAAACATCAGACAACGGAAAACCGCGGTGCGGTCGCGCAGCGCGCTGCAAATAGAGCACTTCTTATTACTGGTTCACTAATTTAGAGTAGTACTATAAACAAGGAACAAGGAGATTCCTTTCTTCTCTCTTTCATACCCACACGGAAAAAATCAGCCACGGGATACAATAATCCCCGGATGTCATTAGTAGTAAGAAAAGATCATTTCTTATATGAAATTAAGCAAAAAAACAAGTTAAATTTAACCTGATTTTTTCTCTTTTAAGGATGGGAATTATGGAAAAGCCACATTTTTGTAAAACTTACACTTGAGAAGAAAGGAATTATTTCTTACCTTGGTTGGTTTTGTTATTAAGATCGTTCATTACTATAACTGCATACCCCGGCACATTCTACCTAGCTAGTAACAAGCAGATTTTTGGTAAATTGAATGTTATTTCATTAATAACAGTCTCTTTCTTTCTTGGTGCACAGTATACATCATTCATTGCTACATTGAAGATCAAACAAGTATAATGATATCTAAAGGGGCCGGGAATACTTCACACGATTTCAGTAGCGCCGCGATTTGGCAATATTCCAACTGTCCATAATTCACTGTAGGCACATTCAGAATATACAGAAGATAGGGCCTTTTTTGTCAATCTACGTAAGTTATACGCAATATGCGTGTGCAGTTTGCTAGTGTTGGATGTGAAGACTTCTTGCGAACTGCCAAATCGCGTCGCGGCTCAAATCGCGTGAAGTATGCTCTGCTCTTAGTACTGTAAAAATGAACTTTTGTCGGAGATGTCATTCGACATTTGCTTTTTGTTCTGTTTTGTTTATATTTCCTTTGTTTGCCGTGTCATAGGACGTTTTGATCCATACGAATTTCTTCAAAGGTACTGGATTCTGAAATTTTAGAAAACCTCGTCTTTGACTGTGTAATCTCTTTCTCCTCCGAAACAACTAGGAAAACGCCCACGTTCACTTTGCGTCAGAACTTACAAAAAATGTTAAAATAACACATTTGTTTCCATTTTTTTACAATCCTGAAAAACCCGGACGACTTCAAAACAATGAAAAAGCGCATAACATCGTGAAAGTTGGAGATTCATTGCTATTAGTGTAATAAATTAGCATCGAAAGCATCCGTATGTTACACATAAAGTTTTCGCTAATTTCTGTTCATATTTTATGTTTCGCAAGCGAGTAGCAACAGACATTTGTTCTGAAAAAAAAACTAAGCGTCTTTTGCACATCGATAAGTAGTGTTTTGATGGATTACATGTTCAGGGAATAATAAGTAGGGCCCTTAGGGAGTTTCTTTCCAAAAATTTGCTTCTTTCTTATGCCCTGTTTTGCCTCTAGCAGTAGAGCACGTTTTTTTCTTTCCGAAATGCATTCCAGAAAGAGATTTGAGCGCTTATGGCGCTGTCATCAACTGCCGAGCCCTATCGGCGTTCGTAGCCGGGCATGTTCGAACGTTTCCGCGCTCATCCGGGAATCTGATGATCTTGACCCCGAGGGAGAGGGTCCGAGGCGAGAGGGCTCGTTAATCGCATCTCAGCGGTCAATAGTTCCGAATTGAGAAAACCGCACATAATTGCCACGCGAGCTCTCTGCCCGTTGACAGATGCGCGCAGTCACTGACGAGAGCGAGACTTTCGCCACATTTCCTGCTCCTTCCGGGGGGAGGGGGCAAAATCTTTCTACTGTACTATTTTTTGTCAGCAGTTTGTCTGTCCTCAAGCCCTCACCAAGTTGTCAAACAGCTGCTTTGGTCCCAAGGCTTTGTGTGCATGTGATCACCAGCAGTCAGCCAGCCACCACCAGCTGCGCCTTCGCAACATCCGCTCCTCGTTCGACGGTAATAAAAGTACCTGAATAGCACATTTATGACTTCTATATAGCATTACTAATTCTGCAAAGAAATACGGAACACGAGAAGTTTTTGTAACCCTTAGTTTGAAAATTAGCACGATTATTTTGTACCTTATCAGTTATTGGTCTTTTTCTATCAAAGAAAATTTACTGTCTTCTTCTGTGTCTGTTTTATCTCTCTATTTATTTATTCATTATTTTATTTTATTTTATTTTTCCTATATTTTTTGTCCATTTTCACTATGTCGCTTTCTCTGTTTTGTTATGAAAATTTTTTCTACCGTAAAAATTTTTTCCGGCAGCCTCTGAATTTTTTTAATAAGACTGCGACAGACTAGCTTGGAAACAACTGTCAAGTGGTAAAAAAACTAGCCGAAGAAGAAAGTGGAAAAAACTAGAAAACAGAAAAATAGTTGGAGTGGGAGTGGTAGTAGGAAGTAAAGACATCTTATAATAGAAAGGAAAATACTCTTTTTTGAAAACGAGAAAATAATCATAATGCTGATAAGTAAGAAAATAATTGTTTTTATTACATTGCGTTCTGCATTTTATTAGCCTCAACTGAGATTTCTATAGCAATCCGAAAAAGAGTCTTATATAACTGAGATGTTTTATGCTGGGAGTGGTCCAAATTTATAGGAATCGCTGAGGTTATATAAGAGATTTTGTTGTTTTATGTATCTGTAGAATAAAAAACACTTTGATCCTCCAAGCTGCTCGGAATGCGCATTTCAATCCTCACCGAAGAAAATTCTTTCCATGTCTGCCTCGAGAAAGCTCTAACATTTCCTGCAATAACTAAGAAGGTAAAAGCTTCCGGCTTAGTCCTGTTTCGCATTTTAAAAGGCTTTCTAAACATTTTCTCAAAAATTTATCACGGCAATGTCACTCCCTTAGGTTTTGCAAGGGAAAAATTTCACTAGAGGTCTTCCTATAAAAATTTTCTTACTTGAATTTATAATGTATTTTTCCACAAAAGCGATAACAATTTTCCTAACTAGTTTCATTTTCATGCTTCATAGGAATTGAATACAATTTCCAAAACAATCTTTGAAATCTAGGAACACTGTCGTTGATATATGAAATAGGAGAAGAGGTCGGGTTTCGGATTACACCAAAAAATTCACAGGGAGATAGCAAATTGAATTTCAAAGGCAATTTTGAAAAATTCTTCAAGTTTCTCGAGGATGAGCCTTTCGCATTTTGTTTATACACACTCTAAAAGATCAACACGATATTTCTTTTGCAACATAGTAAATGGGGTATTGAAACTCTTTACTCTAAATTGTGATGTAGCCTTCTGGCAGTATAATGCATAAATAGTCGAATTTTTCTCGCTATTAACTCCACTATTTTAACTAACTATTTTCAGAAATCTAGACCTTTCGGCGTTTTTTACTTTTCAAATTTACTGATAGCTCAACCTAGAAGACTTTAACTCTAGTGTGATTGATGAGTTTTCGATTGTGCGATTCCACCTGATGGATGCCCGGGCTTGGCGCCTGTTCTTTCTTCGCCGTCCAACCTCACTAATCGTTCCAGAAATTATTTACAAACCTTTGGTCAAGAGGTCCCATAGCTTCCTTGTCTTTTGGGGCTGATTCTACCTCAGGGTGGAGTTTGGGCCAGTCTGGGTTGATTGAAACAATATGGTGCGAATAGTCGTCTCAGCCATCTTTTTCGCATCTTTTGCAGCTAAAGTCCCGCCGATTTGCTCTTTGCTCTCGGCTTTGTAATCCTATATTCTCGTTATTTTTCGCTCGAACTTCCCCCTCATTCTTCTAAAATTTCAGGAAACGAACTAGGCACAGAATGAATGTGAATCCATTCCACAACGAGCAACAACCCAAGCTCGAAAATGTCTCTATCGGAGAGAAATTGGCAAGCCTTCATCAAGAAATGGCATCATTGCGAATGGAATGCGACCGACTGATTAATAAGCATCTGTTGGTCGAGAAAACGCTAAGCGAGGTGGGTAATTTTATTATATTTATTGGTCATTTTGGGTCCATTTAGCTAATGCAAGCCTCGTGAAAAATACGCAAATGCTTGGAAAGAAAACAAAAGTGCAAAGGCTTTTTTTGTACACTATACAGCTTATTATTTGTACAAGTCTCAGGGGCAGGGTGGGATTACGGTAGCCACTCCTCAAATGCGCTTTCATCTTCTACGTTTGTTTCTATATTTGCACTATTTATTTAGGAAAAAGATTCATAGTTGTGGAGCTGCAATAGCGAAATTAGACACTGTCTACATATAACAAACTTACATTTTATATTTCTCAGAGCAAATTTGAAAATTTTTTCATAGTCTTCAATTTTTCTGTTTTCGATTTTTAGTAAACAGATGGTTTTGGAAAACAAGTAGCTTAGACTGAAGATGGAGCTATTTAGGGTTCAATAAAAAATAATTGGATATCTCAAAAGTTCACTATAGCGTGCTTGCTCAAAGTTTCAAAGCTGTCTTCATCCTAATTTTTACTCAGTTTTTTCATCAATAATCACGCCAAAATTTTTATTATTTACCATGTCAGTCGTAATTATTCACTCATTCATATTGCTATCGCCAAATCATCTTGGCACCTCATCGTAATCGCTGGACCTGGGGCTCTTTGGGGTGATGAGTGATGGACGTTTCGAACAGCCGTGCTGTCACCGTCGACTGGAATTTTGACGAATAATTTTCGAGTTGCATTTTGCTCTTAGCAAACTCCTGGACATAGTATCTAACTCTTTCTAAATATTTGTTATTTCAAACATTGTCAATCATTAGTAGCTAAAAAATTTGAGTGGAAATGCCTAAGTTTTTTAAAGATGCCATCGAATTTTGACATAGCTTGAGTAACCCAAGAGGACATTTCCTGTAATATTCCATCAATTCCGAGCACCAATTTGCAAGAATTTTCTTGGCATTAGGCAATTTTTTCTTTCCTCAAGTCTTTGCAGGAAAATTTTTTGAAACAATAAAGTGTGGTTTTGATTTCCTGCGTCATAGGGGGAAAACCTTGTAATTATTCCCTCATGGAATAATAGTTTTTGCTCCTCTATCAAGGCATGGGCTGCAACCTTTTTCTTTGAAAGAAAAATGTTTGGCTTTCAAGGTTTTTGTGACCACTATTGATCGAAGTTTATCCATATCGCTTCGCTGTATTACTTTTTCTAATAATTTTTTTCAAGTTTCGATTTAGATTTCTAATATCGAGTCATTTGTAACTTGAAGTGTGAGTTTACGCACTATGCGCGGCAACCGACGACACCCTTACTGTTACTCCCTCAGTAAACTTTTCTAGCATTCTAAAATGTAGAAATGTGCTCTTCTAGCTAATACAAAGCCAAAAAAATCAAAGAGAAGGAAATAAAATGCAATCACTGAAAATGAGCAGGTAGCAATTTTACAAGTCGTCAAGTAGCGCACATGGTGTGCAATAAACAGCGCAGTGACGCATGTCAAGTCAAAATGACTCGACTATAGTTAGAATCCTCTATTTTCGAAATTTTCCATATGCGCTTCAATTTCTGCACATTCCATTTACAAGATTGCTCCCACCAACCTAATCTGCTAAGCTAGCACCACCTCATATTTGCTTGTTCTCTGCTTCAATTACTAGTACTACCTGCTATTTTCCCTCGAGACCTGAGGTAGTGCTAGTTGGCTCCCACGGCGTTCGTAGTACTCGATCTGGTCAATGGCGTCGATTTAACGCTTGTAAACAAAGTGATAAACAGCTTGATCACTCGCGGATTGCGCGCTAGCTCTCCTCACATCTCTAGCCATCCATCCAGCTGTATATCTGGCCGAATGGTGAGTTTATTGATCGGAAAAAACTTACTTTTTTAGATTAAATATTATTTCTCAAAAAGTAAACAGTAGGTGGAAAATGACCCTCAGAATGCCTAGAATCCTTGTTTAGGGATGCATCCTTTGCCCGAATCCCGACACATCCAGTGCTTACAATACTGGAGGCGAAAGCTGCCGTTCCAATTCAATAACACCAGATGGAGTGACTAATCCTCCTCAGCCACCACCGTAAGTTTTCCAGAAAAATTACCTAAGGTAAAATCTCAAAAAAATTGTCGAATTTAGGGTATCTGTTGAGGATGTATCCTTAACTCTGCAGCGATCACCTCGAATTTTGCACAGGTCAAAGAATATGCCAGTACCTCCATCAAATTCTGTTTCTCCTCAAAATGTTCGTGCAGAAACGAGGAAGGAGGCAAAACCGATGATTCCACAACAGAGTGAGTCTGTCGGGAATTTTAGAATATAAATAGAAACAAAAAACTTATTGGATAGACGTCAATGTAGAAAAAAGTGCATTACTTTTTGTAGGCCCCAACTGTCCAATTAGTTTTTTCAGTGAGTGATTTCCCTTCGTTTCTCACTTCATTTTTTCAGAAAGTTTAAAAGATATGCATTCCACAATTCAGTCGATAATCGATCAGCTTCAATTAACTCTGGCCAACAATGGTGCTCAGAATTTTTATTCCTTTCCTTGCTATCTTACTTACATCTGAAGGACAGAATATGTAGAATAGCGAAAGCTGGCAATCAAAAAAATATTAGAGCCATCTGACAATTATTGAATTGCGGTCCTTTGAACTGAGGCTGCAGTTCCTTTGTTTCAAAGGTATTGGAGGCTGGAAGGTAACCGCACGCATGCGCGACGCAGACTGCGTCGCGAACGTGCTCTCTGATCATTTTCTAGCCTTATTAGATCACGAAGCCCCGCCTTCCAGCCGCCAATGTTGAATAAAAGGGTAGGAAAAATCGAAATGACGTACAGTCATAAAGTAGTTATCGAAGTAAATGTATGCTGGTTGGGCAGAATAGATCGATTTTATCTATCATTGATCCTTTGAAATACCGATTTTATTGATTTTTGAGCCTTCAAAGCATTGACGATATTTCGAGCATACAGATTAAAGAATTCCTCAAAATCCAGACAAAGAAATACTAGATTTTAGGAATTTGCAACATTCAGAACATTGATTTTATTGATTTTCGATTATTCACAACTCGAGTTAGAACAGCTTGACTGTGCATAACCCTATTTTTCGCTATCGCTTATCTCGTTCCAACCAATAGCATTCACAGCCGTAAATTTTACCAGACTTTTCTCGCAACATTTGACTGCCTGCTGTAAAGCAATTATCATCAATTTTGCTTTTTCCCCCAAATGTTGCTCTTGTGGAATGGCTTGAGACACGATTGATGTCCGGGCTCAAATCTGATACATCTGCTTTGCAGCTCAAGCTAAATACCATTGCAAACGGAGAAGATTGGAGGGGGGGGGGTAGACGAGAAGAGGAGGGAAGGGGGTCATTCAGCTCTGAGAAATTTGTTTGTGGCTTGAAAAAAATTGCATAATTATAAACAAGCAAGAAATAATTGTTAGACGTGCACTACAGCGCATTTGATTTGCAAAAATACCGTAACCAGCGTATACTGTACTCTAATAAATTTGATATAGACGTACCCGAGGTGGTAGAGGTCCCGACTCGATTGCATACTCCTGGCTATGCTGACACTCCATCATCGAGCGTTGAATCGTCTGTATCCCCACTACGACGATTTGCTCCTCTCCATATCGTCCCGAGGAAGGAAAGCGAAGACTGTGCAAAGCGATTCAGGTTCGTTTCAACCACTCTTAATTTTTTTCTGTTATTTACCAAGAAGAGGCGTCGAAATTGTTCAAAATAATTTAGCAGTGTTAACTTCACCAACCTATCAAATTTTTTGACTCATTCAAGGGAAAATCAAAAATCAGAATAAAAAACTGAACCAAAATTTATTCTACCCCGTTCTCCCATTCTTTTACATTTTACAGTATCTACAAAAAAGAGAACTTGTAATTTTTCGCACTCCTTTACTTGAAAGATATCAAAATTGTTATAAATTCTTTTCTCAAAAATTGTAGCGCGCTTTCAGCACCAAAAAAATTTTTTTTTGTAAGTTAGAATTAGAAGCAATAAACTGATATACTCTAACTTCCATTTCTTTTCATTTTAGAGCACTTAAACCGAAAAAAATGTTGAATAATTATGCGCTTTGTTCGAAATAAGGTAGCGTTTTTGTTTCCTTCATTTTATCTTTCTTTACTTATTTTCCATGACAGTTGCTTTTTTTCCCGAAAACTTGTTAACCTTCTTTCACCTTAAGAGCATGAAGGTAGCTTTTTTTGTCCACCCCTATCCGCATGTGCTGGATATTCACTTCAGTTGGATATTTTCATACCGAAGAATGAAAATAATAAGAATATTTTAGAATCCCATCATTGTCCATTGTTGCGCGAGATGAAAGCAGGCAGAATCGAAAGGATGGCGTAATGCACCAAAATCTCCCAATGCCAAAGTATGCTTACTCCGCTGTCGCTTTTCCTCTATTCTTCTAATCGTTTTAGGTTTTTCCGAAGTGTAAAAACAAAAACGAAGCTCTATGTATTCGACAAGCCTGTCGAAGAAATGACTGAGAATAGCGATGATCATGCAGCTGGACCTTCAGTCAGTATGCCCCAACAGTCTCAGCAAAATGAGGCAATTGTTTATAAGTGGAAGGTTAGAAAAATTTGAAAAATTTCTTTAAATACAGCGGAATTGGTGAATTTTTAGGTGAAAAGACGCTGTGATGGCTCCAGATATGTAGTAAAACGACCAGCACGAAGTCAAATTCTAAAGAAACGAGCTGCTCAGCTTATTCGCGAACGAACCGGCATTAGCACTGATGACGACGCTATGAGCGAGCTAAAGGTGAAGGTTTTGTTGAAAAATTTGTAGTCCTTCTTCCACTACCCGGGCACAGTTTTTATCGATCAATTTCTGTTTTTCAGCTTGGCCATTTTCATACCCGTGAAGAGCGAAAGAAGCATTTGGAAGAGGAACGTAAACGAAAGATCAGAAATCAACAAAAACTCATCGAATCCAAGATCTCACCGTCTGATCAGGTACTACTCTATTTGGAGATGAGTTTAACATTGTAAGCCAAAAGTTTGAAGTTCCTATGCAAGTGAAACCTTTTTGCTCAACATCTACACGTGTTCTTTTACCTTAAATCACTGTCCCTCAAAAATTGCTGATAATCTCGTTTTTTTTTTTGCGATTTCTTTTCTGAAGGAAATTAGAGGATGCATAATTGCAAAGATGACAAGTTTCATCTTTTACAATGTCTGAAATTATTCAAATTCCAAATTATAGGATAATGTCATAGCGTCGCACTTCCCTGTTGATTTCATAGATAATAAAAAAAATTTGGTGATTTCTTTAACGCATGATGAAAATTTGTACGATAAGGATGCACCTCCTGTCCCCCGGCAAGTTACGGAACGACTTACTTAAAGAAATCTTAAGACCCGATAAAGGTCAGAATCATGTTCGGAATGGTGTATCGTAGCGAATTGAACTAAAAGGTAAAGAAAAATCCAGCTTTCTCACCTCAGTTGCGCACAAAAATCATTTAAATTTTCATGCAAAAATATCGCTTCACTAATTTGAAAACCATTTTTGTTATCAGCGTATTTGAGCAAGGGATAATGTTACTTCCAATGTACCCCAAGAATCAATGAGTCTTTCAGGAGTTCCTAATGTAGTTTCAAAGAAACGGGAATTTCACGAATACTTTCAGTTTTTTAAGGAAAAGCTCACTGACATGTTTCAGCGACTTGCTTATTTTTATTAAGTTACCATAGATAACGAGATCGAATAAGTTTTTGAAACAAATTCTATACTTTCTAGAAATTCTTCCCCTACCTGAAGTTTGAGATTTGGAATTATTGATTATATAGGGCATTTGAAAACGTGACGATGGCGCGACCGCGCGCTACACGCACGCCATCTCCGGAAACTGCATTTTCTTAATTTTTATCTGTGGTCGAATGGGTTTTTGCTTCCGTACGATAGTATTTAGACACTGGAAGAGACTAAGCTGAGCGTTGAGGTTATGTCTTCTTGTACGAGCTTTTTATGCTCCTGTGGGCGCAAAGTCCGCTGTCAAATCTGTCATCACGATTTTATAAATGATCTATATTCATCTCAGCAAACATTTTTGATTTGAAATGAAACCTAGGCACTATTGAAACCACTAAAATGTAATTGTTCAGTCTCATCTGCAAATATTCTTTTTTCCAGATGATTGTCCAACTGTCCCAAAGAAAAATGCAGCGGCGCAAGGAGAAAATGTTACTGGACGGGTTCGTTACCACCCAAGAGGTGTTGAGTCAGCGCAATCCGGACAGCAGTGCCAATCATGGTATTCTTTCGGTGACTACTGTATGAGCATACTGTAAAGGAAATGGGTATTGACTGTGATGACATTATGTATCTGAATAGGCCGAGTTGGTCATGTATCATCGTATGCAATTGTATATTTCGTAGCACGAATCACCAATTATTCTATTGTAGGGGTAAATAAACAATTGTCAAAGTCCATATTTTATTTTTTATGAAAATGACTAGAAAAAGAGGTAGACTAACAATTGCAGTGCAGATTATACATTTTCGAACATAAAGATGAACTAGTATGTAAAGTTAATCCGTCCAGCTTACCGGGACACAAATAATAGATGAGTTGACATGTGGGAAAATTTGAAGATTCAGCCTCAGCCCCCAAATTTTTCTTTGTGCTCCATCAGCTTTATGATGTCAAAATTGTGATTACGTGAAGCTTCGAAGTGCATACTTGCAATTGCCAGAATGTTCTGAACACCTCCATGCGTTGATTTGGCCAGCCACCTCCTTAGGAGAACATTCTTGTGCCAGTAGTGGTAAATCTGCAATTTTTGCTCAAACAAACTTGCAGTATACTATAGAAAATTGAAAAAGGTTTTTCCATTTGTGAGTTGGTTGGATATCAGTGATCGATGTGAAGTTCATAAGAGCTTGTGCATTTCATAACAGTGACAGGAATGTGTGCAATTGCACTCCACACGCGATTATAATCGGGGAAACTTATACGTATCATTCTATTACCTTTTCTATAACAGGCTATCCCGTTTTACTGGACGAACGTATGCATTCAGAATTCCCATAAAAACGTTGAAAATCTCATCTATGTGCATAATTAGGAGTTCTCCCATGTGTATTCTGCATCTACACAGCGGCACCTTATCACCCATTCTACGTGAGTGAATTTTTTTTGGTTGAGTGGAATAAGCGCTAGACCTTCCTAGAACAATAATTTTGTCATATTTGCACTTCGTCCAAGCATAGTCAAATCAGCTCACTTCGGCAGGATGTGCGACTGCACACAATATGCACGCAGCGCGTAAAGTCGAAAAGTTTTTTTTTTCCGAACTTATCTCATACTTTTAGATAGAATTCTTTGAAACCCATCTACTTTCGAACACATTTGGTGAAATGCTTGCGTTTGCACAGGCATTAGGAATCAGGAATATTTGGAACAGATTCTAGTATATGGAAAAAGCATCAGAAGAATCACGATTTGTCCGTGGTGAGCATGTTGTGTGCAATTGCACACATACAGTTTCTACTCACCTCGGCTACAAAGGCAACCAGAGCAGAAGACATGCCCAGCGCTCCAAGTGCAAAAATTCCGATCACACTTTGTACACCTTAAGAAACTCCAATAAGGAACTGTTAAACAAAGAAAGAAGAAGAAGAGCATGAGTCAAGAAGTCAAGAAAAGCTCACCGAGTGGTTTGGATCCTTCTTCAAATTCAGTCGCGGGACATTTTGGTATGTCTGCTATTTTGAATCCTTGCAAGAAATATTTTGAAAAAGTTCTTTGTATGAACTGCGACTGTGTTATGATAGCGTTGTTGAATTTCTCGAGGAACATGCTGTTATTTGGGAAAACAAGATGAGCGGATCGCTGTGGGAGACCTGAAATTTTCCAAGAAATTTTCCTAGCTGGAAGGTGATTGAAACATTCATTAATCTAATTAATTATTTACTTTATTTTTTCATTTATTCGTGACCAAAGAGTTCTAGTCCACACTGCAGACCAGACAGTACTTTCTACCGTATTCAAGACGCTGATTGGTCAGAGGGATTACCTTTGCTAACGTATACAAAATTGCAGCGTTCTTTGCTTCTTTGCATTGCCAAACTATCTTCTTGTATGGGATAAATGTAATTTCCCTTTTCTACCAAGTCCAGCGCATCTGACACACTTTTCGTTACTTCCTAAACTATTTTAATTTGTGTAATAAATAATTGAGTAGCACAACGTACTTACAACGGGATTCGATGATGTTGCCGCTCGAAGTTTAGCAAAATGAGAACTGTTTGAATGATCGAGCTCGTCGAAATACCTAAAAGTAAAGAGTTAATAAAAGTACAATTATTCTTTTATAGTTCTTTCACCAGTTTCCTCTATAATTTGTGACGAGATGATACTTTTTCTGAGCAATCAGATCAATCATTTCGTCAGCATCTTTGAACGGGTTTTGGTCAGTCTGCTGAATGAGAGCAGATAGGAGAAGGCCCTCGTAGAGATAGGTGAAGAAGGCAGATTGTAAGAGGGCAAACAAGAAGAGCATGCCATTGCCTGGAAAGAAATTATTTATTGTTCAAATTCTTGAGGTTTCTTCCTATGCATTCCAATCATCATAGGTTGCTACTGCTTGACAGACTATTGGAAACTAGAATGAGATACAATTTAATGAGAAAAAAACTTAAAATTTCTTGTTTGCAGTGCATTGCAATATCGCTTTATATTGTCTTAATGAATAAGAAGTACCTGAAAAAGTGTGAAAAACCATGTCTTCACTTTTTTCATCCAATTGCAATTGTAAAACTTGCCAAGCCATCTAAATTAGTACTTCGTAAATAAACTGTGTAATTCCATCTGTTTGATCTGATACCATTCTAACATAAACGAAAGTAAATCCTCAATTTTTTGTTGAAAAAATGAATCCCAGTTATTATTACACATCCAAATCGACACCTCTGATGTTTTTGAGAGAAAAGGTTTTTTGAAATTTTTGTGCTGCCAGTACTTGCTACTGCGTATACAAAGCTAAGACTTCCCCACCTCATACGGTCTGAAAACTTGTCTCTTTTTAATTTTTACTTCCACATAGGATATGAATACCATAAGAAGAAGCTGAAGAAGAAACGATGCTGAAACAAAGACTGAGGAATGACCATTTTTGGAATTACATAGGGTTTTATGTAAGGTATTGCACTCGATAGCACATAGTAAATAATCGTTTCTATAGGACTTACCGACTATTCCTAACCAGGTACTGTAAGAATAAGGCTTGAACGCATTCCATAAAACGGATCCAATAGTCGTCTTTTGTTTTCTGACCACATACACCGGTTGGACCTGAAATATCATTACTATTTCATGAAGATTTGATACGTCTGGAATTATTTTTAAGCGTTTTCTGAGCATTTTTGGCGGTACAGAGTTGTCTTTTGGATGATGCAGCGCAAGATGATGAATATTTGTAGGATTTTTTTCGAAATTATTTGCTGAGTTGACGTAATAATAGACCAAAGTTATACACACATTAGTGATTGGATATGACAATTCGAAGTATTGTTCTCGTAAGTCTGTTCTTTGGTAGAACAAGCAAGCGGTATCACTCTTATTATCAGCTAGGTAGCTCAGTACTCCTATCCAAGATCCATTCTGAAAATAAAATTTAAAAATAGGAAGATAATTTTGAGCAGAGCTAACCTGTAGCGTACCCCAGTCAAGCGATCCTACAGCGTTGTCAAAATTAACGGGTTCTACATCGAGTTTCAAAGAATCAGCAAGCATTCTTATAGTCTGTAATTTTACTTTTGCATACAAATCGTATTAGAACTAAACCTTCAAAATGAATGATTTTCATTGCATCTTGACAGACACTGAACACGTAAGAGACTGTTGCAAGTTTCAAAAAATGTATTTTCTTTTGCTATAACTTTCTGAAAAATAATTTCAGCTTCACACTTTTTGCTGAAGATTCAACGAAATTGCATGCCTAGAAACAAACTGGACTTCTGATTTCTTCTTTAACAGTTTGCCAATTTGTTGGTACTTCTCTTCCGTTATATCTCTCGAAGTTATGTGCGAGTTCTCTTACCTCAACGCACCATCCCGGAAAAGGACAGCTGAGTGATGGATCGAGAGTCGGAAAGCGGAAACAGTTCGAGAATGCATCTGGAGGATTTCTTGCAAACGCAACTCTTATCGACATCACACTTCTCTTCACCTTCAGAATTACAAATTGTGGATCAATTATTTAAGAGAAGTTTCACAAGTAGCAAACGGAAATAATATATTTGGTCCAAAAATCTGCCCATTTCAAAGGAAGGTCAAAGACGGCAGGATGAAAACAACAACGCGATATTGCTAGAGATTTGTTTGCCCGAAGTTGGCATGGATATGTTGCGAATTTGTTTGCTTAAAAAATGTGAGTACATGTTGGTTTCGAATTACCTGAGCGCATCACTATCCGTTAGTTATAAGTTAGGCCAAAGAATATCAAATTATAATTCGCCTGGAACCCTAGGGAGCCTCCAACTATTTTGCCAGCCTCACGAATTGCTGTAGGTATACGGTAGACGGCAGTATGCGTGATTGTATCTGAAAAATGTTGACAAATACGCGGCAGAGCTTGGTCCCAAAACGCAGACAGCTCAAATTCTGTATGGCCTTCAATGCGTCAAAGTTTGAGGAGTCAAACTGAAAGTTCTTGGCCATCGCCCTAGAGAATACGAGAGAGCTCAGACCACAAGATTAGCCCCTGCATCCTCATCAGCAGTAAGATAGAGCATTTTACCAACTTACGAAAGTTATACTTGCTCTGCCTTTGGGGTGTACCAGTAGTGAATTTGAAGACATCTGGAAAATTGCCAGATCGCATGGTGACTGACATCGCGTGAAGTGTGTCTTGGGTTAATCAACAAGTAGTTTACGTCATCGCAAATGTTTTTCTGATTTTCTCGCGCAATATACCGTACATTTTTTCATTGTACATAATTGGAATGCCAAGTAGCACTCGATAAATGAGACTCTACAAGATAACGTGTAAATGTTTGCACCAGCTTCAGTACATACACCTCGAGTTATAAGTCGAAACCTAAGGCTTTGAATTCTCAAAAATTGAAAGGCATTTATATCTTTGCCCAAAGAAAACTTACGGGATTTCCCAGTTTATTTTTGTAAATAATTAAAATAATTTTTACAAATTTTTAAAAATTCTAATTAGCCTTGTAAAAAAATTTTGTTCGGGGGCATGGCTGATGAGAAGCACTCCAAAAAATTTTTCGGAGTGCGTGGCTAACGCCACGCACCTTCTTAAGAAAAAATTTTTTGTCGCGCCCCCCTCAAGCCGAAATCCTGGGCACGCCACTGATAAATGTAATTGGTGTAATTCAAAATCAAGCTTAAAAAAGGCAATGATGCATCGTTCTCACATAAGTAAATACTAAAACTTTCAAAAATACGATCGTAAATTTTCAGATCGATAGAAGCAGTATTTTCGAAAAATATCGTTCAGTTTCTTGCTGGGGTTTTTTTATGTAGGAATCGTATTTCTCGTGAATTAGAGCTTGTAGAAAGCTGGAAAGCTGTAATTGCACTTTCAAAGATTTGCAGTATATATTTACTTATGTGGAAACAGCCAGCCTTAAAAAGTCTAGTTTTCTCTCTCTCAAACACAGAAACAAGTACAGCAACACCATGAAACTGTTTTGTGGAGTTTTAATATGAATGAGCAAGTGAGGGATCCGGCAAGTTTTCCTCAAATGAATAATAAATGTTTCTGTAATTTCTCGCTCTAGGTGTACTGAAGATGGTGCAAACGTTTACACGCTTTCTTAGAGAACTTGCTTGCTCTAACGGATGGTACCCTACATTCTTATAAGAATTGAGGAGTGTAGGATTTATTGCGGTAAGAAGTCAAAATTAAAAAAAAATTATGTACTACTGAACAGAGCAATTGACTTCGTCTCTACTCAAATCGTGAGAAATTAAATCGACATCTTTAGATTTCAGGGGCTTTCTTTGCCTCATATAGAAATTGGGAAACTCTCACCAGCTTTCGGAGAAACAATGTGAGACAACATTGTTTACCATTCATCGCGATATCTCTCATTAAAGCAATTTCTACAGAAGCTACAAGATGACCAGGTAAAGCAAGAAAAATTTTTGGTAGTTTTATAAGTTGCTTCACTTTGATTTTTACACGGCTAAAATTTTTTCTTCCAGAAGAAACATGATCTACCGGAGTACCAGCTTTCTCCAATTCTGAATCTTTGGAAAGGTAAGAGGTGAACGTTGCAATAACAGTGTTCGTAGAAGCAGCGAACAATATTGATTGAGGAGTACGAGAATTATGGGACCAAATAAAAAGGACTAGAGCTGTATGAACGCGAATGCATACGAAAATGTCCTTTGAAGAGAAGCAACATAGCCATAGAGCCATTGCCGCTTACGACAGGTTAGGATAATCAAATACTCCTCATCAGATATTTTCCAGGCCTATGGCTACACAAAACCAGAAATCAGAAAATTTTTCGCAGGAGTTGTTGATTAAATAGATGTTGTGAAGAGAACGTGCACAAGCTGAAGCACTCGTACACAAAGCACCAACCTTATTCTTTATCAATCAATTCACCGAATTCTTTGAAGGTAAGTTACAAAAACTTGAATTTCTTCCCAATTTGCTTCTATTTCCAGGTAAAAGTGAAACAATGATGATCTGTAATAAACGGTCATTTGATTGGACGCGCTTGACCCTTCTTGTGCTCAGCTCTTGCAATGTCTGTTTGTTGTTGAAATCAAAGAGTAATAGAATATTCCATGTGCGGAAGAACTTTGCATCAACTCTAATGACTTTAGTTGTGTAGTGAGTAGAGTATGCTTTGAAAAACAAATGTTTAAATAATCCTAAAACATAAACCCGATAGTTTAATTTGATGTACTAGTATTTCTTATGCCGCACAGGTTAATATGGTGGAACTTTATTGACCTAACGTTTCGAACAACTCGTCTTCGTCGCAGCTCAAAATTTAAACTTTTGGTAAGAAGTTCCATGTGTTCTCGTCTTGGAACCAGGGCTCGGCACGAGGTGGCTAGTTGAAAATGCAAAAAACGAAGTCTCCCTCAACTTCGCCACAGAAGTACGACATCCCCCTTGACACGTTAACGAACAAATCAAAAATGAAAACAAAAAGAACGAAATAGAATAAAAGGCGACAAAAAATAGGCAATAAGGACCGGTGATTTGTATTATCTGGATTGGCGGCATGCTGTGTCCGCCGCGTACCACTGCGAGCTTGGAGCACCTTTGCCGCTGCCATCCAGATAATTTGGAGGGCTATAACTAGGCGGGGAGGAGAGGGTTTGAGGAGGTACAAGAGCTGTTTTGTAGAATATTGGATGTAGATTACTTTTATGTAAAAAGTTTGAAAAAATTATGTGAAGAATAGGAATTATATGACTTTGTTTGCGTCGAGCCACCTCAGATGGCTATCCAGGTGGCTTGAAAGCCACCTAACCCCGAAAAAAGTTTGCCACGCCCTTAGTTCACATAATTTTTTCCAATTTTTCATACATAGTCCCAACTCCCCATTGCCCATCTACACACCTATTTTGCTGCCATTTCATCTTCGCTTCGCTGTAAACAAACACTTTCTTTACTTGCTGGCGGCATGCCGGCAGCGTGCCGGCAGCAGATCGAAAGACAGCGTTATGCACTTCCGCAAAAACGATGTCCCCTTTGCTTTTTTCCCCCAAAAACGATATCCAGCTTGCTTTGCAAGCCACCTGTGCCGAGCCCTGCTTGGAACCTGGGCATCTTTGACGTAAGTTGATGTACTAGTATTTGTTATGCCGTACAGATCACTGTGATGTCCGTGACACTGATCTAGTGCGGACTACTGACTCTTTGGTGGACCGAAGACCTCCAACGAAGACGAGTTGTTCAAAACGTTAGGTCAATAAAGTTCCACCTACCATTTGATTCAACTGACTTGGCTTCGGCAAAGGCGGGCTTCGTGACCCAATTAAGGCTAGGTAATGATCAGAGAGACTCGCGCGAGAGAGGCGCAGGTGCGTCGCGGGCGCGAGCGGCCTGAGTTAGATCACACCCCCCCCCCTAACGGAGCCAAGCCAGTTGAATCAAGGTTACCAACCTGTACGGCATAAGAAATACTAGTACATCACATCAACTTACGTCAAAGATGCCCAGGTTTCAAGACGAGGACACATGGAAACTTCTTATCAATAGTTAAATTTTGGAGGTGAACAAGAGGCAACATTGCATAAAGCTACTTTGTCTGAAATAATTTTGACCTTCTTTGCGCCATATTAGTACTTGACCATAATGGAAAAATTTTGACTCTTTCAAGATGGTCAGGAAAAGTTCTATATGCCAAACCAAGATTTTCTCCATGGCTTAATTAAATGCTACTTGGAAAGGCTTACTTATTAGATACTTACAGGGCTCCGCAATTACAGAGTCGCTTGCACCAGCAGCTCCCGCCCCGCACGGCCGCATCGCCTAAACCTTGGGCCGCGTCTGCGATGCGTGACTCGGGCATTCTGCCAGGCCTCCATCGATGGCGCCTGCGCTGGCATTGTATTTTCTCGGCCGTTTCCTCTCTTTTCTTCGCTCTTTCGCTCACTTTGTCCTCAACTAGCCTCATAATAATTTTGCAATGTCATCTCATGCCGACAATCTGCGTTACAGTTCTTTTTGACCTAGCTGATGTTTTAGGATTTTGGCTTGGCAGAGATGAGATTTTCTCGTTCACTTTACTTCGTAGAGACAAACACTCAGCTCACATTTGCATGGCGAGAAGAACGGGAGCTAGGAATGCTACAAATACCATAGGTCCAGAAAAAAACTGTTGCGCTGAATTTCGGCATATTTCTTCATCACAGAACTAGATAAGACTTTCTGAGGGATACAGCGCGAAAAAACGAGGAAGCGAAATAAGATGAACTAGAAGATCCCATCACTGCCAAGCAGAAATCCTAAAACGTCAGCTAGGGGCGCAAAAGAACTGTGACGCAGATTGTTGGCATGAGGTGACATTGCAAAATTATTATGAGGTTAATTGAGGGCAAAGTGAGCGGAAGAACGAAGAAAAGTGACGGAACGGCCGAGAAAATACAATGCCAGCGCCGGCGCCATCGATCGAGGCTTGGCAAAATGCCCGAGTCTTAGGCGATGCAGCCGTGCGGGACGGGAGCTGCTGGTGTTAGCGACTCTGTGATTGAGGAGCCCTATAGATGGCCCGTTTTCAGGTGGCGTGCGGGCCTCAGCACAAGAGTTTCCATTTATCCCTGTCTCTCGCTCCAGACAACCACGATCTTCTTGGTTGCCGTCGGTGGCTGCGTCCACAAGTTCCAGGTACGATAATCGTATCCAGCTAATTTCTCAGCCGGTCTATCCGCTCCACGGACACGTCTGCCCATCTCGTGGTGGTCTTCCTCGGGGACGTTTGGCTTTGCGAGAAATCCACTCAGATGTTCTTAGTGTCCATCTGTCATCCGTTCTTCTCATAATGTGATCGGCCCATCGGTGTTTTGCTTTCGCTACGTATTCCGCTGGGTCACGAAGACGTACATTCTTCTCATATCCGCACTGCGAAGTCCGAAGATGTTGCTTGTGTCGGGTCATCTTCTGAAGATTTCGCCCGAGCGCTCTGTGGGTGGTGTAAATCGACGTGGCTACGGTGTCGGCTCAAGTCTCGGCTGCGTAACAGAGCGCCGGGAGAACGGTTGAGTCGAACAGGTGGGCACGAAGCTCCGGGTCCGTCAGTTGGTCGGTGGCTTCCTTAAGAGGCCCGAAGGCGGCTGCTCTTCTTCTCCTGTTAAGTTCTGTCTCAAGTCCTTCTCCATGTTGATCGAACGTCCGAGATACACGTAGGAAGACGTCTCCATAATCGGGGTGCCTTCCAATTCCATTTCTGCATCTTCGCAAAGGGCGTTCTTTATGAAGTGAGTCTTCTTCCGATTTATTCGCAGTCCGATCTTCTTCCCTACTTCGTTTAGTTCCTTCAGCATCGTCTCTGCTCCAGTGATACTGCTCGAGAAGAGAACGATGTCGTCCGCAAAACGAAGGCTCGACAGGAATCTCCCATCAACTAGTATGCCTCTCTCGTCCCAGTCCAGTGACTTCACCACCCACTGCAAGGCCGCGGTGAATAGCTTCGGCGAGATCGTGTCGCCTTGTCGGACCCCCTTTCCAATTGGGATAATCAGGGCACGATGGAACAGCTGCAACGTCGTTGTACAGTCCTTGTAGCAGTCGGCTAACGTCTTCACGTAAGCTGGGTCCAGTCCTTAATCGACTAGCGCTGACAGGATGGCGTTGGTTTCGACGCTGTCAAAGGCTTTCTCGTAGTCGACAAAGGTTACGACGAGAGGCAGTCGGTATTTTCGGCAGACTTCTATGATCCTCGAAACCGTCTGGATGTGGTCCATGCAGCTGAACCCTTTGCGAAATCCAGCTTGTTCTTGAGGTTGGGCTTCAACCAGTGTCCTAGATATGCGAGCGAGGATAATCTTCGTGAAAAGCTTGTACAGCACACTCAGCAGGCATATTGGACGGTAGTTCCGAAGATCCTCCTGTTCACCCTTCATAAAAAGAAGGACGGTTCTTGACATTCTCCACTGGTGGGGAATTCTTTCCTTCTGAAGGTAAGATGTCAGGTGCGACGCGAGAATCTCGTGTAGACGGTGTCCTCCCCTCGCAGAAGTTCGACGGAAAGATGATCTGGTCCTGAAGCTGGACGTCTTCATGGTCTGTATCGCGATACGCACTTCAGCAGGTAGAATCCTTGGTGGTTTCTTCTCCAGCGGAAACGACGGGCATCTGCACGGGTGTTGATGGGCGGAAGAGGTTGGTGTAGAAGTTTTCGCTGTAAATTTCATTGTATCGGGAAGAAGTCGGAGTCCCGTCTTCGTTCAATAATGCAGCCAGCGGTACTTGATATTCACAGAGGTCCCTTCGGCGCTTCTTGAGGCTTCGTCTTCCTTCGGCTGCTTCTAGTATCTTAGCTGGCCTGTACTTCCTGAGATCCTCTTACAAAGATGTTCTGCAACTGGCGATGGCTATCAGTCGCTCCAGATGGGTTGCATTTGGACCTGCCTAGAAATGTTCCTCTTTCGAGCATTTCCTCGGTGGTCTTCGAAATGCGTTCCAAATTCTTTCCAGAAGTCGCTGAGGCGCACTCTCCGCAGGCTCGCAATCCTCTCAGAAGCCGGTCGTAGTCGTACGTTGGGACCTCCTCGATGAGCCATTCACAACTTGATATGAGTTCTTCTAACCTGTTAAAGTCACAAACGACTTCTTTCCTTCTTGCGGACCTTCTTCTGTAGCAGACCTTCTTTTCCAGCTTTTGACTAAATCGTATATTCGCTCGGAGGAGACGGTGATTGGAGCCACTGAAGAAGAAGGATGGAAATACTGAGACATCAAGCAAGCTCCACCTTTGGTTGGTGAGTATGTGGTCTACCTCCGCTGAGTCGTTCCGGTGGGCGATTCCCAAGTTTACCGGGATGTTCTTCTGTAAAGAAAGAACTTGAAAAGGCAGAACTCAGAATTGCACCTGAGGTTATAACAAAAGTCCCATACCCAGGTGATATCGAAAATAGAATAACCCAAATCTGCTTTTCATAAGGATCACGGGACGTCTTTGAACATTATGGGTTAGAATTGCTTTTCTTAGGACCAACTGCAAGTAGAAGAAAGCAAAATACAGCTGTACCCTTTCATAATAGCTGGTATGTGAGCAGTTGCGAGTATTTTATGGTCATTGCGAACAGCGACAACCTTTCAACGTTCTAACTGTCTCGTTTTTTGATTTGTACGGCGCATTTCCCAATCTGTGCATCATATGTATGGATCTGTACTACTATACAGGGGTGTCCTAAAAGATGTGAACACTATTTGATCGTTGATATCTCTCTTGATTTCATGTTTTTCACTGAGCTTCAAGTACCACTCAATAGAGCGAGGTTCAACTCAGATTTATATTATGGACCGAATTATCAAACACTCGTCATTACTGTAGGATTACGGTATGAACTTCGAAAAGGATTTCACAGTAAAAGCGGTTCTTGCGTCAGAAAGAAAATCAAACAAGCCAGCAACTCTTGTATTGGACCAGTCGAAGTCGCTCATTCCAAATATGAAATTTGCACTTCACTGTAATGTTTGTTTCATAAGTTATTTTAGGTTCAGAGTAACAACTTTTTCTCTAATGAGTGATTACACCATTGAAAGAGCTCAAAAAACTGGTCAAAAGTTGTGTAATAAAATCAGCACGCCTGAAAATTTGCTACACAACCCAGATTTTTTGGAATTTTTCTATCAAAAGACCTATCTCACCTCAGTGGCGCTTTATGCTGAATGTTCATAGCGTAATCCTACACTAATGAAGAGTGATTAATGAATTGCTCCACATTGTATCTCAGAACCTCATTCTATAGAATGGTACCTCAAGTCTGCGAAAGACATCTTTTTAGACACCCTGTATATCAACTCTGTGAGTGTCATAGCGTTTACAGAATGTAGAGTTCTGATTTCGGCGGAATTTACTTTTGAAAATTGACCCTTGATTTCACTTCTTTTTTTACAAAACTTTCGCCTATTAGTGTTATGCAGCATCTTCTAATACTCACATTGAAGCAAAAAGAAAAAGCTTTGTCGATCCCGATGCAAACTTGTTCCTTAGTAAAGAGGCCCTGAAAAAAGCAATTCTTCCAGTAGGTAGTGTAGATCGTCTCTTTAGCACCGTCCACATTCACCTTCGAAATGCCGAGAATGAGACCTCTTGTTTGCTATATATCATATTGATCATGATAGCTGTAGAACTTTGGTCAACTAAACCGCTGGAGTTGCACATGTTTCATTTCTAGGAATGCTTTCTCGAAAAAGGGATGCCGAGGTCTGAGGACTTCTTCATTGCACTTACGCAATCCATACACCTTTATTTAGAAGAGAAAATGGGTAGCAGGAAAGAAGGCAGAAGCAGAGACTATCATGACAGGTGCGAGCTCGTAATTCATTATAGTGACCTCAACTTTGTAGTAGAAGCTTTTGCAGGTGGTAGATTTTTCAGCAAAAGCGCCATGACTAGGCTATATCTCCGTGGCGGAGAGCAGGCTTGCGATAACAGTACTATCTTTTCAAAGTATTTCAAAAAAGAGACTAAAGCACTCAATGTGAAGCACTACGTCATTCTAAAGGCAGCGTCCAGGCAAGTCTGGACCTGTGGGGATTTTACGTGGAAAGTGCTTTTGGGGCCCTAACTAAGCCACTGCCCAGCCGGCAGCTCAGGTAGTGCCCTAACGGCTGAGATATTCCCCTCGAAACTGGACCCCGCGATCGTGTTTCGCATGGATTCATGACGCAAAGCGTGGATCCTGCCGCGAAACTGCCATGAATCCATGCGAATACGTTCGCGGGGGCCAGTTTCGAGGGGAATATCTCAGCCATTAGAGCACTACATGAGCTGCCGCTTGGGCAGTGCCTTAGCTAGGGCCCTAAAAGTACTTTCCACGTAAAAGCCCCATAGGTCGAGATCTGCCTGGACGCTGCCTTTAATAGAGATTTGCGCCACATATGCAAGCACAAAAACTGACATCATTATAAAAAGTCGAAAAGAATGAGTATACGATACATAGATATGCACAGCCGCCGTCATTATAAGGTGCGATGCTGTCAAAGTGGACGTCATCAAGATTTTGTCCCATTTGAGTTAATTTGGACTGTACTTGTTTAGTGATCACTTGCCTTTTTGATTTGAGCTCTCTCGTTCTTCGGATGCAGCTCACTCTTCTTACTTCGCGTTAAGCTATCTTCTCGATTCACTTATGCTTGCTATCTACTGCCCTTATTTGAGTTACCGCATCCCTTCAATTGCAATGATGACGTGACCTCTACTGCTCTCGTCAAAGTGAAACTGCAGAATGATTGATTTAGATAACATATCACTTGTAAAATCAAGACTCAATAAGTTGCATGTAACACTTGCGTGTGGGCGTGTGCTGGCGTTATTGGGTTAACGTAGAGTGTTTGAAAAGAGATGACAGACTTGATGATAAATTGAAGTGTTTTAAGCTTCTAAGGCTTTGAAGCGAAGTCTGACTGATGCACAAGTGCAAATTTTTTTCACTTGAAATTGTTGAAATGGTTATTCAATACAGAATCGTTTGAGTTTTTTAGCTTCGAGTATTGACAAAGCCGAGCGGGCAGGATTTGCCAAACGTGTAGGATAAGAACGAAAGTGGGGACATTTTTTGGGAGATCAGTATAAATCGTACTGTCTCGCATTGTGCCTAATTGGACCTATGCTTTATCTAGTATTCAAAGTGGCCAACGACGGTACTTTTCACATTTCTTTAGTGCGTAGTACCTTGCTAGATACTGATGATAAAAGTGCACTGGGAATCTAGATTGTCGTTTCTGAGACGATTGCAGAATTTCCTCACAAAGTCTGTCACACATTAACATCCTCCTAACAAGAGGATCGTTGAAGCTCGTAGTGTTTCTCAAAAAGATGTATAGCACCATTACCGTTAAAAATGCTAATCTTAATCCTGCTCTTTTATTACTAGATCCATACATATAACTCTTGATCGCGCAGTGCATTATCAAGTTTCACTAATATGAAGTGGACGATGAATTTGAGGAGAACCCACAGAAGCAATTTTTTTTCTAAGCCCAAGCAAATTAGAGTAAAGCGCATTTGTCACTTGCAGATATGGGTGCGTGTTAGAATTAAAATTTCTACGGTAGCGAAGATGATTAACGGTAGTGGGAAAGGCCGCTTTGTCCGGAAATTCCCAGTTAGAAAATAATAATTTGATTTGAGTCGATTTTTCAGTACGTTTCATGTCTAGTACAAAAATATTTCAGAAATGTCAGCAGAAGTCAGAACTATGCGGAGTACGGTACATAAAAATTCTTTTTTGTTAAACGTTTATTAGTGACACATTTAGGCAACTGCAAGAACTGCGCCGACGGTTAGGACCATCAGATCTGTTAGATCTATAACATCATCAAGATCAGTGAGTGCTTAGGTGTTACATCATAGAAATCTTAGCACACTTCTATGGTGCAATTTTCTGTGACATTCTAATGCCTTCTGAATAGAGGTATTTGAACTTAATAGAATATTCGTAGCATTCGCTGTTGCATCTGCTTTGTTTTTTTGGAAAGAGGGTATTATCAGAATGATTCCTTCACTTGTAGATCCACTTTGATCGTGAACCTTATATTCCTAATAGAAACCTCAGTATTTAAAAAATTTTCGACTCATGTCATCAAGATAGTTCAATTCCTTTCATCCTACTAATCAGTCGCTCTAATCAATGACAACCCTGACCGGAGGGCAAGGCCAACCGCTAATTCAAAAGCCATGCTGCGTCGAGGTTCTCTTACGGGTTGAGGCCGGTTGATTCAAAATCTTAGCTCAACCTGAAAGCCGAACCGTTGGAGTTTGTTTAGTGGTTGCCTATGATTAGGACAAAGTCATTGATTTTATGCCGAAATCATCTTATGATCAGGTACCGAAAGACAATCGAAATAAATGGTGTAAGAGATTAATCACGACAAAGGTAAATTCTTCTTTCTCATTAGGACAACACTTTCTACTTTCGTTTCATTCTAGAACATGGCAGCTCTGAGAAAAGAATTTATTAAAAATAAGAAATGTGGGCCATCCAAGTATACACAAGGGGCTTATAAGAAAAATGAAGGGAAAAACAGGCAACAGTTCTTCTCTTAGAGACATTTAGATACTTACTAATGAATTGCGCAGATATGACGATGTAATCTGCATTGATGCTACTCGAGTAGTGCTCAAAGATAGGAATTCTGAAGAAGACTACATACACGCAAACTGGATGATAATGCCAGATAAACAAAAATATATTTGCACGCAGGCAAGCAAAATGGCACGTTGCTTTCTCAGCTGCTCAAATTCAAACTTTTAGGGTCCTATACAGGAAACACTGGAAGACTTTTGGCATATGATCTACACAGAGAGAAGTTCAGTTATCGTGATGCTATGTGCGTTCAAAGAAGGTGTGTAACAAATGCTTACGATTCTACAACTTAATTGGTAATCGTTCAGGCAATAATGAGAAATGTGCACTTTACCACCCGAAAACAACAAAGGAATGTGGAAAGTTTGGTTCTTATAGAGTATATCTAAAAGAGGAAAAAGAAAGTCCTATCAGTGGAGTAACTTACAGGATTCTCTGTGCGAAGAAGAACAGGAGGTTAAAGTTCTAAGCCTTCATTTGCAGGGCTCAAAAACAGTTCCTTGCAGAAACCCTTTCGAAGTTCATCATTTGGCCTACACGGATTGGCCGGATCATACTGCTCCTATGGATCCAACTTCAATAGTTGCAATGATGAGATTTTCGCGAATGTTAGCCAAGGGAAGCACGATCACAGTACATTGCTCTGCCGGAATTGGTCGTTCTGCTACGTTCGTCGGTGAGATTTGATCGAAAAGCAGTAAGCGCAACTAAACTGTTAATGGCTATAGGTATAGATTACGCAATGCAGCGGATTAAACAGGATTCTAATGTTACCATGGTCGATATTCTGAAGGAATTGAGAGGCCAACGATATCAAAGCGTTCAGGGCATCATTCAGTACATTTTCTTGCACATATGTGTTCTAGAAGGATTTGCATATGTGAGTTGTAGTCATTTATTAGACTCAAATTGTCGCTATAGCTGCCTTGTGGATTCAACATCAGCAAAAAATAAATCAGCAAATCGGGTCAGCCCTCCTTAGTCAGACTGCGTTGCTTCCGCATAATCTATGATAATTAAACCCACAATGGCTTTTTATAGGAAGGTGCTATAAGGAAGGATGACCTTCAATCGTATTTCAATGGTTACAGAAGAATGCTGATACTATTCAACAAGAAGATTGCAGCGAGGATGAAAGATAAGACACAAGAGTAGTCTCGAAATGTTTATTTGTTGTTAATTCCTCTAATACTTTTCATCCATGTCGTCATTAACAATTAAAAGTTAGTAATGTAAACATGCTTGAACTTAGACTATTAATCAGTGCATTATTAAATTCAACTCGATAAACGATTGACATTTGACTCGTCGCAACAACCATCACCTTATACTATACAAACAACGACACTTTGCAACTCTAGAACTTCTATCATGACATGATTGACGTTTGACTGCTCCGGCTTCTACTTGTAGCACAGCATAGAGTCGTGAATGATATAGACATTGTAAGAAATATTAGTGCAAAGAGAACGATGGTGAATAAAATCCATTGTTCACTTATGCAAACATCGCGAATAGACGTGAAGGGCTTCTGTGATTGATTTAATGTTTGTAGGACAATATAATACAATAAAATTACCTCTTGCACAATATCTAGAGCAGTTAGCTCAGCTCGAACATCGAGAGTATACTTGTCAGCGTTCCCACTGAAATAATAACATATCGATGCCACATGTTGCGAATTGCTCAAAACATGATTATGAATCACCTTGTGCTTCTTTGGACGCGTATCAAGCGTGAGACCTTAGCCAGATTTCGCTTATATGAGTCTTTAGCAGTAATAAACTGTACGGTTTGACTTTGATGCGGTGCTAAAACGAATTGTGCCTACAAGAAATGTAGCACCATTATAGTGACGTTCCAAGTGGCACACGAAATGCCCATGTGCCTACAAGAGATGTAGCACCATTATAGTGACGTTCCAAGTGGCACACGAAATGCCCATGGACATTGCGCCTCCAGATGAGAATAGATGCAGAGCTCAATACTTTTACAATACCGCTCATAATTCGTCAAAAAAGTCGCCGGAGTGTGGCAGAGTGCGCCACACTCCGCCGCAGTCCGGCGACTTTTTTGACGAATTATGAGCGGTATTGTACATCTAAGGACACTAACACTGTTGAGCCTATAGAGCAAAGGTCTGCTGATCAAACCTGATTGAATGTCCTGCACTGTACATATGATACAATGGCAATGAGGGAACCTTTTTTATCCTTTCTGAGAAAGGCTAGAATAAGGAATTATTTTGGCATTTAGAAAAGAGTCCTCGAAAAGATATGTTGTTATTGCTGCTGTTCTAAAATATATTCTAAATTCAGGAGTGGTAGTAATCCGGTCGAGAACATCATATGATGTGATGGTTCAGTCATGTTCACATATCGGCAACCATGTTCATCTTCTGTCGATCCCTCCGACAATCGGTCGTACAAAACGGAAACAAGCAAGTAACCAGCAAGCTACTATGATTGTTTCATGATTGTTTTCATTCTAAATCAACTACGAAGTGACAGTTCAAAATGATGAAAACGTCAGCTTCATCATACAATTGCCCTAACACTTTTTTTTTGAAAGTCCAGAAACTCCAAATTGGAACAACATTCCTGCCACAGTAATGGAGTCACCGCTGAAGTCATCCATTTTTTGATGGTTCGATCGCTTCTGTTCCTCAGCACCTGGCCGTAACATTCAAAATGCTCAACCTTGATCAAGGTGAGGTGGTTGTTTGACTCCTCACAACCTCTTTTAGGAGACTGCAAGCCCAAAACTTCTACATTTGGCAGAACCAAATAGACCTCATTCCGTCTGTAAGAGCTTCAGAACACTCCTACCGTTACTCCTGCTGGGTGCTACCGCTGCGAATTGCTTGCTCAGATCGGTGCAGACTGGACGAGGACATTCCTAAGCGAAATGTCATATAAGGAATTAACAAACAAAAGTGCGGCGCGGAAAATAAGTGTTTGGTTTACTCACTTCATTCTCTTTCAAATGGATAGTAATTTGACACTGGTAAAACAGGCCATCGCGATCAGCATATTTATATACATGAGCTTCCTAAAGTAAGCTGTCAGAGAGGCGTAGATGGTAGACTAATGCGAACGTTTTGGTGCTGAAGCATTGTGTCAACTGAATATTTCAAATCAGACTAAATCAACTGTTCATTGATCCTCTCCTTTTTGGGTCCCGGTATTGTGCAGTTTTGCGCTCTTGTCAACAATAAAGCCCTAGGTGCGGTAGAGGAATTCAATGCAGAAACTAATACCTAGAAATTCAACAGAATCGACGTATTACAAAAAATACCCAAGCTAATTGCTGAAATTGATAGTTCCACCTTTGTGAAAACGCGCCAATGATTTCGACGCTTGTTGCGTATGTTTCGATGATGAAATGTGCTTTTTACCTGTCCTGCCTCCAGATCGTCAGGATATTCTATGTTGTTTAGCACATACCGATCCAATGCACAACCATTAGAATCGAGAATAGGCACCTGGTATATGTGACAAGTGGCACAAAAAGTAAAACAAAACATTAACAAACAATGACCTCATCTCCTTTTCCGTCATCAACTGTGCAGCTATGCACTAACATGCAAAAAGTGTCTACTGAAAAGTAAGCATTTGCATCTATCATATACTAATAATAATGATAATTGGATTCTCTAACTTGTTTCGCTTTTACAAATCCACTGATGGTATACTTGTTGTCCAATTGTTGCGTATTGTACTGGCATGCCATTTGGTCCACCTTCGAGGATCTAGATCATGTGTGTATTTTATAAATAAAGCTGAATGTCTGTTTGTCTGTATCTTCTTATATATAAAGCTGAATGTCTGTCTGTCTGTATGTCTGTCTGTCTGTCTGTCTGTACGTATGTGCGGAATAGAAATTTTTATTTCTAAACCGATTTGGACCAAACTTGGCACACATATACTTCGGGGCAGGGAGCGTGTCATAGGCTACTTTTCGTTATCGAGCGATATCGATTTTATCGATTTTTTGCAAAATTTGAGCTACGGGGCTGGGAGTTGGCACAGGGGGGTAATCGAGCATGCTGATTACGAATATAATAATGACAGGGCCGGGCGGAGCCGGGTTTGCCAGCTAGTGTATAAATGTATTAGGTTGGCACAAAAGTTCGTTCGCACCATTTTCAAAAATTCATAACTCTATAAACTCTCAACGAATTGTATGACCAGAATTTTGCTTAGGAGAGGAACTCATGCTCTTTACAAATGTATCTGAATAGTTCGTTAGTGTATACAAATGAAGGAGATAGAAGCTGAAAACCAAAATCACTCAAAATTTGAATTTTTCGTGTAGGGTCATAAGAAATCGGAAACTTGCAATAAAAATCGGAGCAGTCAGTATTGTAGGTTTTTTTACCAGCTCTTTTTAACAGTGCAAAGTTTGCCCTGATTGAACGTCTCTATGAAAAGTTACGATTTTCCTGAAAAATGCCAAAATGAATCAAATTCGCCTTTTTGTATTGCTTGCTCGAAAATCATACGCTTTTCATAGAGACGCTCAATCGGCGCAAACTTTGCACCGTTAGAAAGAGCTGGTAAAAGAACCTACAATACTAACTGCTCCGATTTTTGTTGCAAGTTTCCGATTTTTTATGACCCTACACGAAAAATTCAAATTTTGAGTGATTTTGGTTTTGAGCTCCTATCTTCGTCATTTTGTAAACATTAACGAACAATTTAGGAACAATTGCAAAGAGCATGAGTTCCTTCTCTAAGCAAAATTCTGGTCATACAAATTCTTTGAGAATTTATAGAGTTACGAACTTTTGAAAATGGTGCGAACGAACTTTCGTGCCAACCTAATATGTATGTTTGTACGTATGTTTCGAGTAGAAAATTCCATTTCTGAACCGATCTGGACCAAACTTGGCTCACATACACTTCGAGGCAGGGAGCGTGTCGTAGGCTACTTTTCGTTATCGAAGATATCAATTTTATCGATTTTTTGCAAAGTTTGAGGTACGGGGCTGGGAGTTGGCAGGGATGACCGGGCATGCTAATCACTAACAAAGCGGAAATAGGAAATTGGCATGTAGACGTGAGCGCAGGGAAGGTTGTACAGGGATAAGAATGAGAGCTATCATAGTGTTTTGACAAGTATGGGCAGAGCCGGGTAAGCCAGCAAATTGTTCCATTTATATCTTTATCATGAGCGGCTGTCCATTAGCGATATCGGTCATGTGGTACTGACAGCCTTAGATTACTGATTGGCTACTGATGTCATTATGCTCCTTTCCAAAAAGTGCGCTGGCTGCGTTTCGAGGCATGTGGAGAGTTTGATTTTTTGAACCCTGAATTCAATGAGTTATTTCTTACTTGCAAAAAGGCCCGGTACAGGGGCAAGTAATAGTCGGATATCGCTTCATTTAGCCAATATACGTGGTATGAAACGGATTTTCAAATCAAGCTCTTGGAAGGCGTCCATAATCCGAAAAAGCGTTCCTTTTTCGCAGACTCAAACGCAACGCATTTTCTTCCTTTTTTGGGCATTTTTTCGTAGTTGATCGTCATTTTTTCAAGCTGAGTAGCGTATTGGGTAGCTGGGGTCATCGCACATTAAGAACATATCTCAAACTAGCCCCTTGCATTCGCATTCATTTTTGGTGATTATGATAGCAATTGGCAGAACTTTCCCTACAACCTAATTGTTGTAGAGCCGGCCCTTATGTTGGAACTTGTTCGCTCACTATAGGCTAGGTCGATATGGTCTCTGTGGTTGCGGCGTACCCGCCGCACTTTGATATATTTTGTGTGTTGTTCCTGAGCTATTTCTAGTGAACCCTCGGCATGTACGCCGATAGGCAGAGGGGGAACTCTTGTGTTTTTCTAATAAATCGTCAACGACTCAACGCGTTCTACTACAACTGGCGATCAGGATCAAGGACAAGAAGACCACCACCGACCAAGGACCAGAAGAAGCTCGACCGACAAGGGCCAGAAGAAGCTCGATCGACAAGGACCAGAAGAAGCTCGATCGACAAGGACCGGAAGCCTCCACCGACCAAGGAGAAGAAGCGCTGCAGCTCGAATCAAGGAAGAAGCTGTCAGTGGTCGAGGACAGCCAGACAAGTAAGCTTTGCTGAGAAGCTTATCGATTTAGCAGAAGACTTCGTCGACACCAGAGAGGTCTACCATGCCGAAAGCCAGAAGAGCGGCATGGCGAATCTCTGGAAAAGGTCCTATCGGTCATGGTCGACCAGATGCGGCTCCAACAGGAGGAGATGAAGCTGCATATGCAGTTTCAACAGGAACAGATGAAGGCCCGACTACAAGCTCAACAGGAGCATATGCAAGCACAATGGAAAGCTCAACAAGAGCAAATGCAAATGCAGACGCTGTTAGATGAAGATTCCAAAGAAGAAGGAAAGTTGGCCAATGAAACCATGGAGAAGCAGTTTAACAGTCATCATGGAGCACGGAAGAAAGCGTACCAACCACAAGCCGCTGCTGCACATTTTTGGACCGAAGAAGATGGTACCTGTGTACACAGCGAACAGATTGCAACGATGGAAACTTATTCTTCTCGCATACGATTTCGATTTGGAGTACCAGAAGACGACCGAATTCGGACAAGCCGATGCATTGTCTCGATTGATCCCTCCACGGCCATTCCAAACCGAGGACGTCGTGATAGCGAAGATAGAAGAAGATGTGCAAGCCGTTCAAGCTGCCGCTGTACGAGCGCTACCAGTGACCAGGAGTAAGATTGAAGAGGAATCCCATAAGGACGAAAACATCATGGAGGTTATACAAATGCTACAGTCAGGATCGTGGCCGTCCAAGCCGAAAGGAGATATCGGAAACTGGAGAGCACTGGGCGAGAGTTTATCAGTGCAAAATGGATGTTTGTACTTTGGCCACAGAATAGTTATTCCAGTCTCGCTGCGACAAGAGGTTTTGAAGCAGTTACACGAGGGACACCCTGGAATGACAAGGATGAAGATGCTCGCGAGAGGATTCGCATACTGGATGGGCATCAACAAAGACATCGAAGACTCAGTGCGCCGCTGTAGGGAATGTCAAGAAGCAGCCAAGATGCCAGTGAAGACTGTACTGCATTCATGGAAAATGGAAGAAAAACCATGGAACCGAATCCACATTGACTATGCAGGACCACTAAATGGAAAGATGTATCTTGTCGTAGTCGATGCGTACTCCAAATGGCCGGAAGTGCTGGAAATGTCGTCATCGTCGACTGCTGCAACTTTAAAGGAACTCAGACTACTCTTCGCAAAATTCGGAAATCCGCGAGTAATCGTGTCGGATAATGGAACACAGTTTACGGCAAAGGAATTCCAAGATTTCTGTGAAGAGCAAGGAATCAAGCATATGCGCTCCCCTCCGTTCCATCCACAATCGAATGGTCAAGCCGAGAGGTTTGTGGATATCTTCAAGAGAACGTTTCAGAAAATCAAGGAGGGAGGGACGGCACAGAAGCTAGCAGAATTTTTGCAATGTTATCGAAGAACGCCCTCGACGTCTACCCCGGGACAACTTTCGCCGGCCGAACTGTTGCTGGGACGTCAGATAAGGACACCGCTGTCGCTGTAGATGAAGATTCCAAAGAAGAAGGAAAGTTGGCCAATGAAACCATGGAGAAGCAGTTTAACAGTCATCATGGAGCACGGAAGAAAGCGTACCAACCACAAGAAGACGTGTGGGTACGTGATTTTCGCTCTGGATGTGAAAAATGGATTCCAGCGCGTGTGAAGAAACGCTACGGAAAAGCCGTATACGATGTGCTTACGGAAGACAACCAGTTATGGAGACGACATGCGAACCAGATGCGTAGTGGATCAAGTATGGATCGCCGTCGTGACTCATCGCACACCATGCGTTCCGAAGAAGACCAATTGGACAATGGCATGGACATCGCTGAACGCCATGCAACTTCAACTACGTCATCAACCAGACCAAGTCGCCGTCGTCGCCCACCAGAACGTCTACAAGTAGATTCTTTTTGTAAGATGTACCGTTGTTCATCTTAGGAGGGAGGTGTTGTAGAGCCGGCCCTTATGTTGGAACTTGTTCGCTCACTATAGGCTAGGTCGATATGGTCTCTGTGGTTGCGGCGTACCCGCCGCACTTTGATATATTTTGTGTGTTGTTCCTGAGCTATTTCTAGTGAACCCTCGGCATGTACGCCGATAGGCAGAGGGGGAACTCTTGTGTTTTTCTAATAAATCGTCAACGACTCAACGCGTTCTACTACACTAATATTATATTAGGTGGGTCCGAAAGTTCTGTCGTTTCATTTCCAAAATTTGTAGCTTTGCAATTTTGCAACGGATTCACCTCGCTATATTTTTATCAGAAAGAGTAAATCCTTCGCTTTCAAATGCTGCTTTGTGGAACTTCTTTCTTGCACTGATCGCTGAGATAAAAATGGGAAAGTAAGACCATATAAGCTTTGACCATTTTAAATCAGGCCACCAAAAATCTGAAACGCTGCAAAAAAATCTGAAATCGCCAGTACGTATGTTTTTTGGCCTACTCTTTGCATCTGTGAAGAGTTTGTTCTGTTTGGACGTCCCTGCGAAAAGTTATGATTTTCACGAAAATTAACAAATTAATTAATTTTGGCGTTTTCCATAGTAAACTCGATATTCATAGCTTCTCACAGAGACGTCCAAACAGCACAAACTTTTCGCAAATGCGAAGGTTAGGCCAAAAAACATATGTACCGACGATTTCAGATTTTTCTGCAGCTTTCCAGATTTTTGGTGACCTAACTAAAAATGGTCGAAGCTTATATGGTCTTAGTTTTCCATTTTCATCTCCGCACCTACTGTGAAACAGAAGCTCCACAAAACAGCGCTTGGAAGCGAAAGACTTTTCGAAAGACAAGCAAGCAAATCCGTTGCAACAGTGCAAAGCTACAAATTTTTGAAAATGAAACGACAGAACTTTCGGACCCACCTAATATATATAACTCAAAGTCCGTTTATTTGTTAATAAGTACGTTTTTATACAAATTTTTTGAGTGGCCCAAATGAGATGAAACTCTGCATACTTATGTTTTCCCCTGCGCAAAGCATAGGCTACTCTTCGCGGCGATTCACTTGACCCTTCTGTTGTTTTATTGAATTATTTACTTACCAGTGCGTCACCTCTGCTTGCAGAGGTTCGCACTGGCTCTACTATGTATGTGCCTTACTCATTCTCATAAAATCGTGACACTGGAACTCACCGCGCTATGCCGACTACCACGAATAAAATGTAAACAACCACTCATTTAGAAAGTCTTTTCACGTGAGATCGGTGATTTCACGTGGATGAAACTTTTCGCAGGAAGACAAACGCAAATTTGAATAGGTTTTTGGATTTGTCATGATTTGGTAGTCGCCATGAAGGTAATGATAACCGTGAGCTACATCTCTGTGCGAAAATCTTCTCAAACGCTTAGCTAGAACCTTGGCAAATTGACCATTTACACAACCAATTCGTTTTGGCGCTATGTAGTAAACTTTCGACCACTTTTTTGGCTAAACTCCATCGCTTGCACATTTGCTTACCAAACTCATCCACGACTCTGCAAAAAGTGGTGATACGGACCGAATTTTGCGGTACAGAAGCCAGGGACCCGTTTAGCGCGCAATTTCTGAGGGATCCACTCGTCGACGAATCTACTCTTGCTTTAGCATGTTGGACTTTCATGAAGGTAACATGCGCCATGCAAAATTTGGGCTCAAGACATTAGCTGGAACACGCTCCACGAATTTCGTAGCAGACACACACACAGACAAAGTCACATAAACACCCTTAGCCCGTTATTATAAGTCACTAGCTGGCTTACCCGGCTCCACCGTATGTTCCGAATAGAAAATTCCATTTCTGAACCGATCCGGACCAAACTTGGCACACATACACTTCGGGCCCCGGCGGGTGTCATAGGCTACTTTTCGTCATCGATCGATGTCGATTTTATCGTTTGGTCCGGATCGGTTCAGAAATGGAATTTTCTATTCGGAACATACGTACACACAGACAGACATACAGACATACAGACAGACATACAGATAGACAAACAGACATTCAGCTTTATATATAAGATGATATCTGGGAAAATGAAGCTTAATATACTCTAACCAATCATTTTGCCATGATCATGTAATCGGGAAAATGCTCACTTTGATCTCAATGTCGGGAAGATGCTGCAATTCATTTTGAAGCGCTTTTCGCGTATAGTGAAGAAGTTCAAAAATACACACGTCTTATTAGCTAAACTGGAGCCCCGAGTGGGACCGGGACCGCCAGCTAGTGTCATATAAATAGCTATTCTGCCTGTTCATTCGTATAACTGCCAAGGGAAGCTAATTGACTCGTAGGCTTTTCCAATAAGATGTATATCAGTCGAAGGATCTCTAAGCGCTGATTTTCAAACCTTCCATATTTGCTCAACGCTACAACGAACAAAAGTAAAGGCATTTTCCTCTTCCAAATTTGCGGGGTAGGGGAACGAAAACCACCAGTTTGGGCCGCCTCCACGAACTACTGGTCCTGGAACGACATGCAACAACATTGCGAAAGGACCAGTTATCCGCGAAAGGTGGCTCGAATTGGCGGCCTGTTCCCAGATTGCATGGTCAAGTGCCGTCTAAATGACCTAAATTCGTATTAAATGTGAATTTGCTTCAAACTCACATGCCTGAACTGCCTTACATGTCTGAGATATATTTGTTGTACATGAAAAAGCTGATGGGAGCAATTTCGAAAGCCTACTGTGCTACCGTAGTTCGCAGTAAGCAACCATATTCAATGTTATTTGAAACCAAGCAAGTGCCAGTAACGTTCAATGAATCGATAAGGAAAGCAAACTCGTAATCAGCATTTTGGGGTGATAATCATGGTATAGGGACTGCATGAACGCGAGAGTCGGACGTGCGCACGGCCATTGCGCCGCGCACGTCCGATCCGTCTGTCCCACGACTCAGGTAGTTGCCAGGCTTACCCCATTTTCGACAGATTCGTTCGCTCCTTTGCTATTGGTCAGTGCATTGAGTTGACCAATAGCGAATGAGTAAAGCGGACGAACCGGTTAAACAGGATAAGTCTAGAACCTGCCTCAATGACATCGGACGTGCGCGGCGCAAGGGCCGTACGCACGTCCGACTGATCATGCAGGCCCCTAATAAACCTTGCTTGGATAGGCCACTTTGATTCAAGAACCTTTCCTGTCAAGGCCTTTCAAAAAACGGAATCCCATGCTATCAACTGAAAGACAGAAAAATGATTTTGGAATAATGAGCGACAAATGAGCAGATCTTTTTGATGACATTTTTCTGAGAACTCTTCACAAATCCCGACTGCAACTTCTTTTAATACTCACATCATATCTGCAAATTGGCATTTGCGTAAATCTCTCCACATTCGCCGTCGTCAACTCCGACACATTCATCGGAGAAGAAACATCTTTGGCTGCTTCCATGTAGAAGCATGAAATTCGATAAGCCCGATCCACTTTTGTGACAAACCTCGGCTAAAGAAGAGTTTCTTTACTGTTTCTGGATATCAATTTCTCCGAGAGAAACCTACATGGAACGAGATCACGATGGTCGTAATCACATAAACTCCTCGTGGGTTAAGCGAACGAGTTCGCATTAGTCCGCAGGTATGGAAAGGAACAATGATACCGGCTACGCGTCTATGGTCTAATCTGTTGGGTTCGTCCGATCGACAGTTACTGTCGGAGTAGTAACCATAAAATAGAGTTATGAAGAACGGAGAGCAGAACGCTCATCTTATTCTACGAAAAGCAAGATAAGCATCCAAGATTGGATTTATTTTGAAAATAATTTGATTCAGATTACGCAGCTTTCGCGCTAATCTAATATATGATTGTGATTGTGAAAAAAGAGGTATGAAGTGATTGTAGCTATCCGTGAAGAGATGGATATGACATTAATTATTTTTTTCTCATCCTAGGTTCACATACAATTAAGTCATAAGGTTATCAATAATTTTTATGGCATCCCCAAAATAAGCATCATTATCAGAAAAAAACCCTTTTTCATGAAAGCAATGTCACTTTTTATGTCTTTAGCTAAGTGACTGAAGGGTGCCGATTTTAGTGGTGGCAACAATGAACATTCTTTTAAACAAATAATTGTTCAACCAAACTATCTTTTTTGTTTCCAAATTCAATGCGTGTACAAAAATATTATTTTTCCATTAAGTCAAATTTCCTCGACAGACTTACTGCGAAGTTTCTTCTGCGCTAAAATTGGTAATTGGAATTGGTTCAAAATAATGAAGGGAAAAAATACTTTCCATGAAGAAACGGCTCGATTTCTGTTTGCTTCTATGTACTACTGTAATCTTAAACAGAGTCATACAAAAATAAAAATAAAACTGTAAAGTTCTAGGACTAAGAACGTTGAGAGGCATCTAATCAAGCAGGAATTACGTTTATTATTTTATTAAAAAATTACATATACGTTTCGATTTGTCGAGAATAAGTGGGCAGAAGATGAACTGTCACTGTTAGCACATTGATGACCCACATGGTGGGTCATGCAATGAATGCCACTTGGGACAATGTGACTCACGTGGTGAGTCATGGCTTGAATTTTGTTAGAACGACCGCTATCTTGAAGTAAATTATTCTCAAAAGTTCTGACACTAGAAAATGCTTTCGCATTTGTTGCTCGCTTCATAGAATTACTGTAGGTATACTGTAGTTGACATCTGCATATTTTGGCTCAGAAAATTCTGACTTATCCGTGGAAGGCATTGCCCCACGAGGCAGACAACTAAAAATGCACGTTCTCGTCAATGTGTTAATTTGACAAGCATATTATCACTACTGACGGGAAATTAACCTTGAAAAACGTTTTTTCTTTTGTAGAGAAGTGATTAGTAAAAAAAATGATGAAGGTTTTCAGTTTCTGCAAATTGGATATCAATCCGTTATCACGTCCAAATTTAAGATTTTACAGAAACGAGGTTATCAGACGAGTTATGTAAAAAAATGGGCTTGCAGAATTGTTAGTGTACGATCGCGCGAGTAATTTTGTAAGCGAACAGAAAGAAAATTTCGCGGTATACATGAGTGAAAGCTGAAGAAAAAACAATCAGAGATCAAAGCGTTCAGAGTCTGAAATGTCATAATTATAAGCAACTGGGTTGAAAAGGAATATACCCAATCTTCAAAAAATAACAGTAATAAATCACTTACTTTGACATAAACATGACCCATGAAAGGATTTTGAGTATTCGCATTCACTTGTATCGCAGTGGGTCCACATTCTACCTCGGGTTTTCCATCGACACCATTGTCAACGGGAATACTGTGGACCACGATAGGCAATAAAAGAAGTTGCGCTAGTAGCCTTAATATCATCTAAAGCGATGTCTAGAATGGTCAAAGCGGGGAAGGGGTCGTTTACCAGTATTCCTCGAGGATTTACAGCGCTGCGAGCTCCTGTTGTTAATCTGGCGAACCTGTGTAAGGGGGGGGGGGGAGAGAGGCGGCTTCACAGTAGGTAGCAATTATATCGCGAACAACAGTTCAGAGAGTTTGAAACGAGTAGAAGAAACGAGAACGAGAGCTTTTAGCCTTTCACTAGCATATGTAAAGGCTTTGAAGGATACCTTTATTTTGTGTTTATTTGAAGCGGGATGCAAATCTTGAACAAAAGCCTAGATTTTGACATCGTGAAATTAGCAAGTGCAGTAAGTCATGTGAATCAATGAGAATAAAGCTTCGTTATTTTATTGTATGAGAGATCCAACAGAAACACTATTGATCGTAGACTATAAAGTAATCCTCGTTGGTGCAGATTTTTTTAAATCCTCTAGACTAAAGCTGAATGTAGATCTCCAGCAGCATACACCATATCGAGTCTTGCTCCTGGCAGAAATCTTGTAGAGCATGTCTGAAAATTCTGCTTGACCCCCTTTCAACAAATAAATTGACATAGGAACGGACCTGGTACCACATTCGTGGCCGTGACAGCTTTCCATCCTTTCCAGCAAGTTTTTCTATCACAGGAAGTACTCGCTCCTCGGCAGGAATCAAATATTCCACAATTCTTCGATAGATAGCGAATGGATCGGGATCGAAGTCAAAATCCAGGTCGGGATTCTTAATCAAGCAATCAAACACTCATAAGGGAGGTGAAAACTCCAAAAAACTACACTTCCCTAACCCGTTCAACCTTTCTCTAGCAGCTGACTTACATAGTACTTTTTCAGAATGGCTTTCATGAGAATCTCTCCTGTTTGCTGATCCCTCGCATACAGCGGACCTACAATAATTCTTCGCACTCCTTCGCCAGCAATTTCCCTTGAAGTACCAAAGCCAAGACAAATGCCCTAAATGCATATTCTTCAAATAGAAGTGGTATACGCGCACTTAGAGATGCTCTTCTATTCGAACGATTCTATTTTTGCCAAGAAATATGAGTTGAAGGATCTTTGTATTTATTTTCTCGACGAATAGTTGCACAAAAAAACTTGTGAGGTTGCGCAACATCCATTTGAAGCCTGCATAAGGTAACGACGACGGTAAGAGTTAAATCTGATAAAAGTGCTTCAGATTTCAAACCTTACCAAATTAAGCAAATTGACAGGGCGGGTTTCTACAGGGCGTCCCAAAAAGATGTGCACACTGTTTGATCGTTAATAACTCTCTTGCTTTCATGTCTTTTGCCGAGCTTGAGGTACCATTCTATAGAGCGAGGATAAACTTAGATTTACAGTATGGAGCGAATCAACAATCGCTCTTCGTTACTGTAGGATCACGGTAAGAACGCTCAGCATACAGCGTCAATAAGCCTTTTGATGAAATAACTTCGAAAAAATCCAAAAAATTGTGTAACAAGGTTTTCAGGCGTGCTGATTTTACTATGTAACTTTCCACCAGTTTTTCGAGCTTTCTTGATGGCGTATTCACATTTCTAACAAATATTGGAAAATCAGTTGTTACCCTAAATCTGATATAACTCATGAAAGAAACAGTGTACTGACGTGCAATTTTCATATTTAGAATTAGCAACTTCGATTGACCCAGTTCATAAGTTTCTGGCTTTTGGCTTTTCTTTCTGAGGCAAAAAACTGCTTCTAATGGCTCAAAATCCTTTCCGAAATTCCTACCGTAATCCTACAGTAATGAAGAGCTGCTTATAAATCGCTCCATACCGTAAATCTAAGTTGAACCTCGCTCTTAAGAATGGTATTTCAAGCTTGGCAAAAAACATGAAAGCAAGAGAGTTATTAACAATCAAACAGTGTGCACATCTTTTTGGGACACCCTGTATATCTCATCTTGAAGTTCAAGTACAACAACCCAAAGCTGCGAAAACTTGACAACCTTGTATTTTGCGGCTGGAAGTTTGTGACCTGACATTCCCACATCATTACTTAATCTTACCTAATAATTTTTACTTCATTCTTCACGATTATGATGAAAGCGAAAAAGGAAGAATATTTTCTTAGGTGTGAGCTACCGATTTTATTTTCTTTTGCATAAAACGACATGAACAGAAGGTATAATCAGAACCCATGTACGCACTTGAGAATTCATGGATACTCACTGAATTCATACGATAGGACTCTTTGTTTCTCACACCTGTTGAAGCTTACATGATTGCAAGTGCTAGTCACTCTTCGGAGAAAATAAAATAGACAAAACTTGCTAACCTTATCGTCGAAAAGTGCCGCAGTCTCGGAATCTTCCAACGCCAGTAACTCACGAATTGGCCTTGTTTCTGCACTTACTTCTCGATCAAAAAGTGATACAGCGTCCCAGTCAGATGTTTTGAATGATTCGGCTAAAACAACTCGACAGTCCGCCAAAGATTCCTAGATGAGTTATTTTGTTTTCATCTCTTATTTGAATACTTTGGTGCTAGCACTGTCCCTAGTACCTGCAAGTCAGGGAATCCGCTGGCTTTATCAATTTTGATGTGGTTGAAACGGCGGGCATAACATTCTTTCATTCCAAAATTGCTCACAGTCGGTAGCAGATGATGCACTAAAATTGCCTGCAGTTCAAAACAGTAAATGTTTATGACAGATATTCGTGCTTTTCCGAGCAGCATTTTTCCTATGATGAGATACGACCCATTTTTGACTTTACACAATATTTCATATGCAAATCGGCCCTCGTAAGATCTGCTTACCTGCTTGAATTACTCCTACTTTCCCTTTGAGAGCTTCCCGGAATAGCATTGATCCTATTCCAGAATGCCGATATTCTTCCATAACAAAATAGGCTCCAATTTGTGTATAGTCGCCCTTATTGATGGCAACCAATCCTCCCATCAATTCCTTTTCTGGAAAAGATTTTAACGATTTAAATATCATGAAACGAGCGTAATTGACCCTAAATATCTTAACTGAGATCCTGTTTATTGAAGAGGCAAATCAGCAACATTGAATATATCTCAAAGGAGAAAAGAGAACTCACTCAAATTTCTAGCAACAAGAACGCGAATATTTGAGATCCCATAAGCATTCTCCCAAGCAGTTATGTAGTCATAATTTAGCATATATCCGTTTTGCTCGAATGATAGAGCAACAAGCTAAGAGCGAATAGATTGGGGAAAAGCAAAAAGAATGGGAAAGTCCAACCTTGTCAAAATCTTGCTTTTCTCCGTCATGAAATTTGTACCAAAAGCCGTGCTTCGAGTACGCTCCTCGCCATGGATCTCCAGCGGATTTTGGCAATTTGTTTGAGAAAACCTGAACTCAAAGGTTCTTCCTCGACTTTGCTCAGTGAATGGCTCACGTCAGAGCTAATTTAGCGACATTTACAATATACTTTATCTTTTGCGTATAAACAAAAAATAGTCATTATCCAGCTATCGATATGTAATACAATCATAAAATTGATTTTCTTTACATCACATAACGAAAGTCTTGATATGGAACAATACCATCAAAAGCACGCTATTTGACTTATGAGAAATTGGAGGATGTTTAAAAAAACTACAATTTATCGGTCACTTCAAGAAGCTTAAGAGCTACGTAGAAAAAGGTGAGCTGTAGCGTTTTTATGTTTGTAAATGTCAATTCTCCCATGCACGCTATAACCTTCACACCGTAACTCTCAATTTTGAGTTCTCTCTCGCTAGCAGTTAAAACTGAATTTTCTGAAAATTCTAAATGAGCACTTCCAAGAAAGAAACAGGAGATGAAATGTGGGTAATCCTCTGAGAAAATGATTCGAAATTTTTATAAACTTTCCTGTTCCAGACCCAACCTAAATAGGAGCGCAAGCACATTTGACGTTGCGCGGTTTGCACCAGGGTCAAGCAAGGGGTGTGGCACACGATCGCTGGTTACGACCCCCCCCCCCCTGATTGCTGTCTTAATAAGACCCCCTCTGGACTATACCCTTAAGATAGCACTACTTGGAGGCGGCAGCCGCAGGTTTTGAGGGGGGGGGGTGCCGCAGGCCATTAACTATATAAAAAAAACATTTTTAGCGGACAATATTTATATGAATCAATAGCCTAAACATCGTAGATTCCATAGGGATGTTTTGAGCCTGATTCGTCTTCTTAGCTCTGAGTAATATTTGGTGAGCTCTGAGTAATATTTGGTGAAAGCACAGCGATCAAAAGCGAAAAATGGGAAAAACGAGATTTTGGTTGGCTTCTAATTCAATAGTTTGGAGGTCTTCTGAAACGGGATTCCTGAGGTGGACAAAGAAGGAGTAGTGCTTTGTCTTGAGTGCAAGAAGAAGTAGCTTACTCACCGTTAAGATGAAGTTAATCATGTTTTAAATTACTGCTTTATACAAGGTTGTTTACTGCTCGGAGACCTCAGAGTTCGCTGAAACTTGGCGCATAGGGGTTATTCGACACGCGGATTACGACAATTATGCTTGATTAAAGGTACGGTAGGTTACGGTAGGCATACGGTATCTGCAAGTTTGTGTCGTTGAACATGAATTTTGCAGGATTTCAACAGCGCTTTCATCAAGCCAATTTAGTCACACAGCTTGTACAAGTGCTTTTGACCTTGGGTCGATACGATCCCCCCCCCCCCCCCTGCGGCGTGCCGCACCCCCCGCTTTACCCTGGTTTGCACTTAGCTCACTCCAACTTCTTTCGTGTGGCCTATCAAAAAAAAACGCGTGAAATAAAGGAAGGCGCTGGTTGCTGATAACACGCAATTCATGCAACATTTTGGTGGTCCTTTCCAATCATGATATCAAATAAAAATTACAGAAATAGATTGCAATGCCTCCTTATCACGCGTCGCGTTGTACCTTTGAAAAAGCAAATCAGAGCTTAGATAAGCCAAAACACAGCTGTTCTTATGTAGTCACACATACAAGCTTAAAAACCTAACACATCGAATATCAATTTACCTCCATTACATATGGCTTTCCTGGAACATCGGGTTTTTGTCGCTGAAGAACAGTTTTAAACGATTCCATCTTCCTGTGAACCATTGTCGATGCAGAATGATTTGAGGGAGACTATATCTTCGCCAGTTGCGTCAAATAAGCTGCGATTTCTATTTTCGCGACTACATGTGTACGGTTCGGTCGTTATTAGTCCTCTTGCGGATAAATAGTGCTTTCGTCCAGAGACAGGTTCTTCTGCGAAATATCCAAAGAAAATAAGGTATTATAATTGCCATGAGCTGAAATTGACTGAGAATGTTTGTTTTTGAAAAACTACCGAGATGGAAGAAAGTAAGAACCAGGCTTCGTAAATCATTACGATAAAAAAGACTGACTTCCGTGTATGGAGTGCAGGTTACTTCGTCGTAGTTTTGGAATTACTAAAATTGCTATCCCATATTTCTACTACATATGTCAAGTATGACACTATTCCGACATTATATAGAACTTTGACAGATTCCATCATGGAAAGTGAACTCTCAAGTGATCCGTGTCAGTGCCGAAAGTATGTTTTAACAAGGGAAGGATGTTTAGTCGAAGTGCCCTTTTTAGATGAGATGCAACCATAGGAACACAGCACGCTGATTCCAAATCTGTCTTCCTTATCTGCGTAACGTTTATGGACGAGGAGTTAGAGCGTTTGTTGGAGCAAAAAATATATGGACGTTTAGGATGAAATGAGTAGCTAAAATCTTACCTTACATAAAGCAACCATGTATGAAATAGTTTTTTTTTACATTAATGCTTACTGTGTAAAGTGCTCTGATAATTATCACTGTTCCTTTGTGCTAGAAAAAATATAATGAATATTTTGTCCTACTTGCACATTCACTTTTTTGCTCCAATAAATGCTCGTAACCCCTCGTCCACAAATGTTACGCATATGAGGAAGGCAGACTCGAAATCAGCGTATTATGCCCTTCAATATGGTATATCACAACTAAGAAGGCCACTTCGACTAAACATGCTTCCCTTGTAAGCACGTTTTGCTGGAAAGATCACAGCCCAAACCTTATGGGCTTGTAAAATTGTCGTTAAAGATCGGCTACCGTTTGCTCGTAAAAAGATAACATGATGGGCTACGCGGCTACGCCTATGCTCTATGCCAAGGATGAAAAATGAGTGATCTCACAAATAATTACCACGGCATCTTAAGTTAAAATTTCTTTCAAGATCATCCTACTCGTGTGACCTCAGACTACCTTTGCTAGAGGATCACCATGCTTGGCATCTTACCAAGTGTTTACCGCAGCCCTTTATTATTCAAGTGCCCCGCTATCTATACAAACATGCGACGGCGATTAACGCATGATTCAAGGCGGCCGATAGGCGTCGAAGGAGCAAATTTATGGCTAGCAAACCAGCGTCTAGCTTTTCGAAAACCTTTTTACCGCTCTTGCTTTATCAGTACTTTCCAGCTTTTCCTGTGCTCATAAAATCACTAAAATTTTTCAATCATTTGCATGCACTAAACAGTGCCGAAGCTTCTCATGAAGGGCGAAGATAGCTAAGCGAAAGATTAAGCAGTAAAATATTTTATCCTGAAACTGCATGGACGATTTTTAGGTTGAACCGATAGTTCTATCGCCCTAATTAGAAAATTGTAACATAGTCCTGCTTTGAGGTTATTTGTTGATATCATTAGCAAGCATAAATCATGCACTTTCTTATACACCTTGCGGCTTCTACATGTCTAATTCATTTAACTGCGAGAACAAATAGAAGAAGAGAGTCATTCAAGTATCGCCAATACAAAAAGTCCATTAAAAATCTGGATAAAGCTTAGAAGCTTATGTTTCATAGCATTTTCTTACGTGAAATTCAAATTTTTGGCTTTCTTGATTGTAAGTTTCTGTAAACGGGCTAGTTCGGTATAAGCTTTGTTTAGTTGAAAAGGAAATGTCACAAAACCTAAGCTTTTGGCTGTTGCGATTTTCTGGGAGACGGTCAAGAGGCACGATTTTTTCGGCTGTCACCAACCCAGAACTCAGTTTGGTGCTACGCGAGTCTTCAAAAAGTACCAGATAAAGTGCGTTGGTTTACAAGCTGTCTGAGGTTACCACTTGCTGAGTTTGATGGCTTTTTCTGAAAAATGGATCGAAATATTCACGAAATTGTTCTAAACTGCATTTTCATGGGTTTTTGGCCTTCAAAATTGCTGCTTTGAACTGATTCCAAGTTAGCAACATTGAGCAACTCATGCAACTACTTAATATATCTCCTTTAGTTTAAATACTTCTGGAATGTTATAAAACACTTATTATGTGCTATTTGGTGTCCATTTGGCAATAAAAATCGCGCCTCTTGACATACACCCCGGTTTTCTGTAGCGCTTTGAGATTTTTGACAGGGTGTGCTCAAAATTTATTAAAACTCGAATAATCTCCTTTTTCCATTTGTACGCTGAAACCGGACCATGATAGAGAATGCTATTAGTTGAGAAGACGCATGATTTACTCTTTCCAACAAAATCAAATCTTAGCAGAAAATTTAGCAGTACGAAGCTACAATCATGTTGAAACAATGCGACAGAATTTTGGTTCAACCCAAGCGAGACATATGTCCCCCCAGATATACAAAGCCATTAAGGTACCTTACTATAGCAACCTTTGCAAACACTGAACCGAAAGAAGTACAAACGCTCACTTACTGGGGGTAAGATTACCATTTTGACGCCTTAATCAGTACATTCTGCTCAGGCTTGGCACGGTTATTCAATTTTTCCAGTATTCCAGATCATTCTGTAGCACCTTATAATCACTTCATTGCAGCGTAAGGAACCATAAGTTATAGGTTATTGTGGGCTATGGGTTATCGCCTTTTAGAGTATGACTCAGCCAGAACCTGGCTTGAAGCTACTCCCACGCTCCGCTATGAATCGGACGATGTCTCACCCACAAGCGAGTCATCGTCAAAGCCTTGTCGTAGGTCGTCGATGCTTTTCGCAGCTATTCCAACCGTAATCGGCGGCCGTGCATAACATTTTCAAGCGATAAGCATTGGGCTTCATCGATTGCTGTCCTAACTGATTTGCATCGCAAAAGTTCTTTGTTTTATTGGCTTGTCAAAGGTCAGAATTTTGGAGTGCACGGTCTTCAAATTATCTGATCAATTACCCTTTATGTGTGATTAATTTTGATTTTTATCTTATCAATGTATTATTCCTTTGCTGCACCTTCAGCAATTCACTTGCACCTCTTTCTATGATCATGGTAGATTTCCGCTTCTTACCGGTCACCTTGCATTTTCTTCAAAATTTTTTTCAACATTAAACCGATTTTTGTACCGTTATCGCGTGAACTACTCCATATGACGTGGTGAAATCAACAAAATAGTAATATAGATAACTTTTCGCCTATCCTTGCTCTTTGTTCTGCTTTCCTAATCCTTTAAGAGGCTTGTGCAAGCGCAACTATATAGACAAGAGATAGTCAATTCTGATCACTGCAGTAAAAGGGCAAAAGTGTATAATTTTCGTACTTAATATGTTATTATAGGCATCAGTTACTATATATGGAGTTTCTTTGTTCGCTCATCATCTCTGTCACGTTATTTTTATTCTATACGGAAGCACGAAGTTTTCGCTTTCGTCGGCCATTATTAGTCGATGCCAAAAAAGTAACAATTCAACATCTATAATAAGTTTTGTATCAGCTATGTAATTCTCAAAAGATAAACAAATTCTTCGTGCAAATTCAAAAGAGCCTGGAGTACCTATCCGATTCCTTCACAGTTATGGTTCGAAAGGACTGTGACTCTACCTTCTTTTCTCCATCGCTTACAACAGTATTTGATATTCAAAAATGTAATCAATCTCTATTTTTAACTCTTGAAAAACATTCAGTGTATGTTTTGGCTGCGCGGACTGGATACTACAACCTGTCAGTTCATTTTTATTCACCTATTGATTGATTTACATTCAATTTTTTGAAAAAATATTCCCATGCATGTCTCGTATCCAAATATAATCGATCCAGTTTGGTTCAAAGGCAAATAGAAAAGGTGTGAATCATGCATGCATCGTATGCAAATGTTGCGACGTGGAGACCGACATCTCCTGACATCGTACGGTCTTTGATTATAACATTTTTTTGGAACATTCTTTTCGTTGCTATTCAAATCTAAAGGACATTATTCGCTGTGTGAAACATCATCGCAAGAAATTAGTACAATTGTGTCGCTGCCAATGGTTTCGCATTCTTCATTAACTTCTATGACTTTTCAACAAGTTTCTCCGCGCTAGGTATTCTAGCAAATTATCCATCCAAAAAAGACTTGCATACTTCTCTTCCTCAATATTTTCCTTCGTAGAGGTTCCTCTTGGATGTCTCAATATCTACGAACAAAAAATCACAGTTCATCGATTGTTCATTGAATTCGATCGTCTTTTCTTCTTTCTGAACCTTAACCTTTTCTGCCTTGGTCAACGTTTCCGCGAAATTCTGGGAAGACATAAAATTGTGCTAGACCAATTTCGCTTAACAGGTGATAGCGGTTGCTTTGATCGTAGCCGAAAATAGATGTGGCTAAATTAAGCAAAGAGTCTGGTAAAGCTATCGCTAATGGGTTCACGAAGTTAAACTGCTTTGTTGACCGCTAATTTTTTTTTCAGTTTTAGCGATTTTCCATACTTTTTTGTGGGTGGCTAATGGCTCACCTTTCTAGCGTTGTTTTGCGTTGTCTATCTTCTTTACTGGAAGGATTCTAATGTTGTTTCTGTTTGAATTATTTACCAACCGGATGCTAGTGACGGCTACATACGTTGCCATTTCGACCCGCTTCTCTACCCTCATCCGCCCTCGTCGCTTTTTGTTTGCTTTCGTTTTCCGGGTCTGGTTAGCACACCTTCGTCTCACAATGTTCATCTATTAATTCACATGGTCCTTGAGTAAATTTTTGTTTTGCGTTCTATGAGCTAGTGACAGCTTCAAGGTTTACATATTCATCATGTTACTAAATAAAGTCAGAACTCGTAAAAATTTGGTCCGTAAAGGGGCCATTACTTTGTTCCTTCTCTTCCAACCTTCAAAGGCCCCTAATTGTATCCTTTGCCCTTGTACCATTGCGAACGCTTACCCAAACCGCATGCATTCGTACCAATGTGTTGAGAGCAAATAAAGGCTCGTCAATCGCTCTAATCCGCAAGCATTTCCCACATGATCAATCGTTCCTGAACGTTTGTATGTTCTTCTTCTGGGACGTTCGGGGCATTCGAGAGAATTCTGAATTGTGGGGGGGGGGGTGGGGTCACTTTAACATTTCGTTTGCTATTTTGTAAATGTCATGCGTTCAAGAGAGACTGGATTGCCTTTTTTGTCTAATTTGTGATTCCCAATTCTGCAAATATCCTTCCCGAAGAAATCCGAATTCAAAGTAGATCTCACCTTTGACTCTTCAACAGTCGCCATTGATCCTAAGATCCACTCTCAACGAATAAGGCCTCACCTTCAAAAAACAAAAACTTTTGTAAAAACTTTTTGTACGGTTCTCGGATAAACACACATGTCTGGTTTCAAAATAAAAATAGAAATGTGCCCCCTTTAGTGCAAATTCGTGAAGGTATAGAAGTGGGCACGTGTCACGACCACAGTTATGTACACACAAATCCTCAGAATGTTACCTTAATACATGTGACCGCTTTTGTTTCTGTCTTGTAGTACCCTGATCTGTTAACTAGAAGAATTTTGGATAACTGAGCCAACTACAGTATTCACTCTCACCTTTTTCGCGCCAGTTATTTGAGGAATCCATGAATCATATCGTTTCTGCAGCTAGTTACAGATTACAAGCTCTTAAAAGTACAAAGAATTAATGTAAATGCGTCCACTTTGCAACGACCTTATTCTTTATCATTGCTTATTGCATAATTTACTTATATTTTGTCAGACTGATAACTAGCACAACCTGTACCTTCACTTTGCCTGGCTACTGGATTATGTACAAATGCCAGTGTTTGCTCTCTCAATGTTTTTTGCTTCAGACATTGTGCATGATCCAGCGTTTGTATCGATTTTCAGCATTCTATACTGAAATAATTTGCTTTTATTTGACGAGGGTGAGAGAAGAGTAGAGTTTGCTAAAAAGCTAATAATTTGTAAGGCGGTTGTTTGCAAGTGATGTAAATTTTGCTTTGATAAAATTTGAGATTGGCATATTCCCTAGCTCCATGGATATTGTTTGTAAAGATTTTCATTGATATGCTCTGTCTGAACCCTTGGCAAGCTGTCCCTTCTTGTGTGCTTATCCTTTGAGTAATCTGTTTTTCTTGTCCTTCATGCACTAGTCAGAGCTCAAAGCTAATATTCAGCAGTTGGTACGATTTGCGCTTTTCATCAGATTTCGAACATGCCCACAGTTCAAATACTATTATTTAAAGCTTATCTTCATTATTTTTTCATAAGTTGTATTAAGGCAGACCTCTTAGTCCCCTACTTAGCATTTTTGTCATGGAAATTACCTATACCATCTAACCTCTATTAATTGAATTATATAAGATCAGCAGAACCGCCCATGCCTAGTTATAAATCATTAATCCTTTTATACTCGCTATACAATTCTTAGCAAATGCGTATCGTATTTTTTTGGGATCAGCTTCATAATGCTAAGTTTCATGATTTACGCATTTTCTGGTCTGAAAGTTATAACGTGCAGTTTTGTACTAGTTTACTAAAAATCCTGTACTTTTTGCTACCTTCTTTCTAATGCATCTTCCATTCCATTTTCTGGGACTGGCACGCCCAGACACAATCTTATCCGCACAATCATCTACATTGCATTCTGTACCAGCTCATCGTCTCCTCTGTAGCCAACAATTTTCTATCGTATTTCCTCAATCATTATTATTCTTTATAGCCGTGTATGTGGCGAGAGCGCGACCGAACGTTGCGCTGGCTGATCGTATGGGGGCTCTTTGCTGGCGCTCAACAACAAGTTCAGCAAGGACAGTCTGGCAATATCAATCAAAATCTGGGAAATCCAGATTCCGGTGTGCTCTTCTCAGGAACCGGTAGCAATGTCTATTATGGAGGTTGGGATTCCATCATCGTTGGTGTAAAGAAAAAATCCTTCTTTTCAGTGAATTTGGTGCCATTCGGTCCCGAAGTTGGTGACCAAGAAGTCATTCCGGGTATGCTGACTTCTGGACAAACGATCGATCTCCACATGTATTTTCCTTTCTATGGAGGATTATATAATTATACCACGGTGAGAATGAGAACTGATTTCCAAGCTTAAAATAACTCATTCTTGTCTGCTTAAAGATTTCCGTAAATGGCTATATTGCATTCGCCGTTGTGCTTGACCAAGGGCCAACTATCAACATAGGCCCGGATGCAACCGACTGGCCGAAGCATCAGGATCCTGCCATGATTGCTCCTTATTTATGTAAACAACAGGTAGGATCAAACAGCGCTAAATTGGGCGAAGTTATGAAATTCTCAATTCAGATACCTCAAGACATGAACCCAGGGTTGCGTTCTGGTGTTTTCTTCCGGTTGATGATGCGACAGTCACTGTTCGGCCGAGGTTCTGGTAGTAACATGAACCTTGGTGGCAGCTATCAGAGCAGTTTTTTTGGGCAGTCGGCAACTCAGGTGAGCAGTGGAGCTGGAGCCTTTTTTATCAGATTTTGACGTCTTGAACTCCCCAAAAAGTACTTTATTCTTAGGCTTGTCAAGGAACTCATGGAGGCTACGTACGATGCGATCAAAACAGCGATTATTTTCTTGATGAAATGATGCGATGGCTACAAGGTGCGTTGCTATTTTTGAAGTCTAGCTTATACTCACGAAATTCAAGAATCCTAATCTATGCATTTTTGCCTGTTGATCTGGGCTTCGTTAGTCCCACTGGCTCTGATTTTTTTTCATTTCTCACGACTAAGCCGTATTAGCGTGTCAATAAGAAACTCCTGGTGGTCCCTGCTTAGAAAATCTGCACCGGCTTTTCGTAACTTATTCAAGACTGAGAGCAATTTCAATCCCTATTATTGCTGTAATTTCTCTTTTCAAACCTCAATTTATTTTTGCCCTTTTTAGAAGGAGTCGCCGGCGCGGCTGCGTTCCGAGCTGATGCCGCTTTGGTCGTCACATGGTACAACACTGCTTCTGCTATTTCTGGCAGAAGTGACATGGACGCTGGACAGCTCGCTACGTATCAGCTTGTATGGCTTACCGATGAGGTAATAGATATACCCTACCATAAAGGTGGATTGCACTTTTACGACATCTCTCTTGAAAACGCTGGGTGAGGTGGGGATTGTTGGTAGAGCAACGGATATCGATTCCAGTACTGGATTGGGGGAAACTAGAGGGTTTGGAGCTTCGTAGTTTTTTTGGATAAAAATTTTTGTGTAAAAATTGGCTGATTACTCAAAGATGCTTAGTCCGACTTCATATTTCCAGGCTGCTCGTCTTAGTTATGTGATTCTAAACTACGATAAGCTCGGTTTCGATGCAGCCGACTTCCGCGCCAATTCTAGGAGTGGCCGATGTCAGGTACGCACTCTATTATCCCTCAAATCGTGCCAAACATCCCAAAGTACGTTGTTCGCATTCCACTTGTACTTTTTGCGAGGCATGAGTCATGGCCGGCCTGCTAGAGCTTGAACACGGAGAAGTAGTGTGGGAATCGGACTAGTATTTACCTAGCTGGCACCACCGATCGAACACGCCACTCTGTGTAAATAGAAAACAATTGCGTGTATAGTGGTAGACGTAGACAATTAGAAAGTGGTGGTCTTGTACTTTTAGTGAGTCACTGACTGAGGTGAAGTGTTCTACAGTCACACAGGAAGAACGTTTGCATCTGTTTGTATATGGGAAAAAATCCAGCACAAAAAGCTGCTGTGTTTTGTGAAATGCTGGCGTTTGCGCTTCTTACACTTTGAACTAACACACTAACAATATTACTATCTGAGTTTCAAAAAAATCTCTTCATAATTCGAAAACGTGACATTCGTTCTTAAGCATTTTTAACTGTCCAAAAATTTGTTTAGGCAGTGTTCAATGGAGGAAATCACACCGGTATCGTACCTGTTGATCCAACCCAAGCTTTCAAAAACACTCCCAAAGTAAGTTTTCATCTTTCTATATTAGTAAAGATGACTGAGATAGGAAGAAAAAAGTAAGTAGCATCGTGAATAATAAATTCAAGCGAATTTCTGCAATACTTTACTCCACATAATGGTCATTTGAAATTATCGGTAATTTGATGATGTGGCTGTTGTTTTCAATACCTTCTTTTATATTACTTTCCGACTTGATTCTAGGTCTTGTCCCAACGCTCTGGAGTTCCTCATATGGTACGTGGACGCTACATGTTCAGAGTAGATGATGTCGTACGACCCGCTGGTTGCAGTAATAAGACTGGGGGAACATGTAAGTTGACCTTCGATTTGATTCCTGCCGTTATCACTGCATGAATATAAATCGTTTGATTCTGAAATTTGTAAGCACCATACTCGCACTTCAGACTTACTATGGGGACTAATGTAAAAATCACAGATTGGCATCTTTAGCGAACTGAAAAAAGAACAATTTAGCGAAAAAAGCAATCGAATATAATCTATCTACCGTTTGAGGTATGGATGGTGGTGCTGCAGTCAGTATTAGGGTGTGGAACGGTGTGGATGGCGTTGATGTAGTTGTAGCAGTGTTTGGTGTGGATGGCGGTGCTGCAGTCAGTGCTGAGTGTGGGAGTGGTATGGTGTAATGTGTAGTTGTGGCGCTGCTTGGTGTGGATGGTGTTGCTGTAGTCGTAGCACCAGTTGGTGAGGATGGTGGTGCTGCATTGATGTAGGGTGTAGTGTGGTTTGGATGGTGGTGGTGTAGTTGAGGCGCTACCTGGTATGGAATGGTGTTGCTGTAGTTGTAGCGCTGGATGGTGTGGATAATGGTGTTGTAGTTCTTTCGTTTTTGTGGATAGTGGTGCTGTAAATGTAGCGCTGCTTAGTTGGATGGTGTTGCTGTAGTTGTAGTAACGCCGCTGGCGGATGGTGTGGTGGAATTGTAGCTGATGTGCATGGTGATGTTCATTCAGAGAGAGGAGTGTTGCTATGATGGTGCTGGTGGTGCTCATTTAGCACTTACCGTTGAAACTGCACCTTTCACAAGAACCCCGAATTTGGTGCATCGATCTTATACAAGATAACACACCTGATAAATTGTAACATTTCTTTACGTGTATGTGCCGAAATAGTAGTCATTTTTTCAGACCCGATGTTGATCTATCCTAATATCGTCAACATGATGGGTGAAATGACTGTGGATGTGAATGCCATCTGTCTAGATCGCTCTCAAACCTATATTCTTATGATAGAACAACGACAGGTGCCTTTCCTCCTTTACCTAGCTGCTTGGGGTTCAGTTCGGATTTCTAGACAGCTACGTGTACCGTTCTGAATCCATCCATAGCACGATGCCATCTTCCGAAAATCTACGACTGGGGAACGAAAACAGTCTACTTTCAACCGCAAAGTGGCGGTGCCAACGACGAAAAAGCTTTTGTGGGATATATTTATTTCGGTACGATACCTTGATAACAAACTTATTTACAAGTTTGTAGAGCTACATTTGACTTGTTTTAGTTCCTCCAACTCTTGATCCAATGCGATTAGATATCGGTAACATCTACGACTGGTTCAAAAATCCCGTTCCATACCAGGTCTAGAATTTTTTCATGGCTTTTGGATCTCACAGAGGATAATCGTTCTATAGGTGATGCCACTAACCTGGTACCCACGTAATTTTACGAATCCTGACATTGCCACCCATATGGAGTCAGTAAGATTGAGCGATGATGCCATGTACAGCGTACAGCTGGGACTTTACGTCATTGGATACAGGGAGTTCAAGGACGATGACGTGAGATTTTTTTCCAAATGCACTTGAAGTCTAGAGTCGGGGGTGTTTCTCACATGTTGGCGGCCTTTGAATAAAAAACATCAATTTTAGATCAAAAAGTTCCGACCTGAACATCGCGTTCTTTGTCGCCTTGCCACCTATTCCAACCGAAACACTTATGAATATAGATGGAAACCACAGGAGGAAAGGATAAACCTATATCAGGTAAGGTTTGGCATTTTGTCAGTACTTGGGTTCATTAATATTGTATTTCGTATTTCAAGGTAGAACAGTGGTATTTGAATGATTGGCAACGAACACATGAGCTGTATAACTACAGATTTGGATACCTGAAGCTATCTCCGATAAAGCCAAATCAACTAGAAAATCAGCCTCAAACTCTCCTTTCTGGGTAAATTCTTCGATTTTTTGCTTTCTTGAGGTGTACCTTCATAGTTTAGTCTTGTGTCTGCTCCAATTTCTCTTCACTGGTTATGGACTACAAATAACCCAGAGTATTCTACCACCACATATTCTCAAAACGACGAAAGCGCAAGGGTGGAGTTTGTCAAACAAAAATCGCTGGAAATGTGCCATGATTGGTAATCTTCGTTGTTTGGTTGAAATTCGTATGCATCCGATCACGATGTCAGGTACAACGAGGACGGTGCTCAGTGGAATTTCATTCGTGACACGGAAACGAATTCTTCATGTCCATGCATAGAGAAACAGGCAATGGCCGATTTGGGTCGTTTCATGCCTCATCCCAGATGCTCACAAGTGAGGCGAATTGCATTTGCTAGAAAGTCGTTCAACTTGGCGTAACCTCACGTTTAGGCATTCCGTGATATCACTTGTACATCAGCTATCGGTGCTAGAAATTGTTATATGTCAGCTCAGAATATATACGGGTCATATGCAGGAACAGGACATGGATTTGAAAGCGAACATACAGCGTTAGTGAACCCTACTAATAAAATTACGCTCTACTAAATTTTTATTTTCATACTCTAACTCAAAATTCAAAAATCACGTAATGCAATAAGTCATTAATGTCATATGTTACTGAGTTTTGTAAGATAATGATAGAGTTTTAAAAAACGAGATTAATCTCTTCTTCCACTGCTAAATTTTCGGAAAATTTTTGCCCTTCTCGAGAAAGGGAAGTATTTTCCCATATTCTCATAACTTTCAGGAGATTCCCCACTCATTACGGACAAGTATGCTGTTATGATGATGCTGGCCATTTGATGCAGACTAGCTACCAACCGGTCATAAAAGTCACTCCAGAAGTCCCGTATAATCCTGGTTTTCCCATGCGTGCCTATGAATTTGGCACATCTCCATATATGGGTCAATATGAGGTAGCCTGTGTTCCAAATTATTCATCGAATTCAAATAATCAGAAAAACTTATAAATTTCAGGTCCCGGGTTTGTCCGCATTCCACAATGACTATATGCCATATTTTTTGTGCTGTAAATTTGCTGATTTTCGATGTCAAATGTTCTACTGGCGACGACCGTCCAGTGGCTGTCAAGAGTATCAACCACCTGCATACGGTACATTTATTCCTTTTCAAAAGCAAGGTAATTCGCTCAAAGGTTCCGTTTCAGGAGAAGGCATGGGAGCTGGCACATTCAACACAATCGACAATGATAAATTTATCTTCAATGAACCTGGAGTATTCAACATGCTGTACATTCCGCAGACACCTACCACTCCAGAAGTTAAAGTTCAAGCAAGATTGGAGCGATATCCAGATCGACGAGTTGACTTTAGTGAGTTTTCATGGAAACTTTTGTCTTTTTTCACATAACTAAAAATTTTCCTCCAGGTTTGCTTGGCCACGGAATGTCCCAGCAGGATCTGGTGCAACCGACAAATACCACAGTTATTACTGGTATAGCACTTGAGGCCACAGGCACCGATCGTGTTCATATAGTCACAAGAAAAGATACTAGACGATTTCGGTACAGAACTAGTATCATAGTAGGAAATATCATGAGATATTTCGACACAATGAGGATTCAGAGGTTCAAGGGTAAGCAAAGAAAACTTTGACAATCGCCTGTGAATGAGGAACAAATCATTTAAGGAGTGCTAATCTACGTAAACAACGTTGAGCGAGGACAGCCTGAGATTTACGTTGTCTTGGAAGAAGCCCAAATTGGTATTCGTGTCAGGGAATCATACGCCATCGATGTTGATCGCTACTCAAATTACCAGGAAAGCATGGGTTTACTGAACGTTGCCATCAGTGTACCACCCCAATATGGAGTAGTAAGTATAATATCTCCTAATACAATAGCTCAGACAGATTTTATTATTTTCTTTAGCGCCCAGACGGAGACAAAACGAAAGAGGTGGAAATGCGACAAAGATACAATCTGCCACGAGTAGCCGGGTTAATGAGACCGTTCCCAGATCAGGCATCTGCCAGCTTTATGCAGTCACTAACTTTGAATGATGTGAACTCTGAGGGGTACAGACAGCAGATCATCAATATGTGTAAGGAATTTTATGCGTTTTCATAGCAAATTTTTTTGAACTGCAAATCTGCTATTTCAGACCGAGTGCAAGGCTCGGGTGAGCCGGGGTCAGACCAATCACTATCGTCCGCCAATCAAGCTGGCATGCCTACTGAGAATATGTTCACCACTAGTAGGGATGAAGACAAGAAGTTTGAGGTTAGAGATTCATTTCACAGCTTTTAGCTCTCGAAAAATCTTTTCTTTAGGTATTCCCCGAAGCATCCATGAAGAGTGGTCCAATCTACAAAGTGGCACCAAAATATGAAGCGTAAGTTTTTACACTGGATAATAGAAAACCTTCATTTTCGCAAAAAAATTGCGTTAGTCTAGCTAGTTAAACTCGTTAGCTATTGAAAGCTCAAGATTGCCAATTTATCTCATATCTGTCTACGAAATATACCGTACATTGATTTTTTAAAATTTTCTAGTGGACGTTACCGATTCTACCCAATCACTGGTCAAACTCTAAACCAAAGACTGCAGACTTGTCGCGATCTTCAGCAACAAAATATAAGTAAGCCATGTTCACAATTTGTGCCCATATTTGCTTTTGTTTCAATTGAAATTAGAGGTCAGAAAATTGAGTATTCGTAGCTGCCTTTCTCATAATTTCAGTCAACATCCAACCTATGCAGTCCCAACTCACGGAGTCCTATGGTATGTCACAATGTCCTGACAACCCAGCGGCTATAATCTCGGAATGTGGCGATTCTGTACCGTGCCTCTACGATTACACTACTCTCAACGCTAAGGTGACCATTCCAATTCTAAAGCAACTTATCAAGTTCTCAACAAATTGCATCTTTCCTTCAGATAAAAATTCGAAAAATTTTAGGTTCTGGGCGTTCGCGTCAAGGAGGAATGGAACGTGTTTACAACGGAACGGCTTGATGCTAGCCGATTTTGTGAGTTTTGTTTCTAATTTGATTGAACCTTTTTTTGTACTCATTGATGATCGAAAAATTCTAAAAAGCCAGATATCATATTGACAAGAATACAATCAGATATGTACTGAGCCATTGCCATAACTTGAGTGTTAATATGATTTTTTAGACAACAGCTGCGGGCCCATTAACATCGAATACCCCGAATATTTGATCAAAACCTCGTCAATGTACTCCGCTTACATGCAAGGCGATGTGGCCAGATTCGAATGTGTCCAATCACACTGGATCAAAGGTGTTCATGAGTACAAATGTGAGTCCTTCGCTTCCCCGAGTCTCACAACTTTTGAGTTCAAAATGAATTGTGTTTAGGTGGTATCGTAGTGGACTATAATCGACCAAATGAATATCGCTTTGAATGGAACAAGGGCGAGCAACCGTGGTGCCGATCAAGAGAGAAAGAAAATTTCCTTATTTGGCTAAGTGCAATTCTAGGAACTATTGCTTGTATCATGGTAAGTACAAACCAAGTGTCATATTTTGCAGGTCAAAAAAAATTTTTTTTGAGGCAATCATCTTCATTTTCTTATGTTGTTGGTGCGTAAAACAGCAGAAACGTGAAGAACAGCGAGGACTCTATGCCACTGGTAATAGTCGATCTACCTCCTTTAGCAGGCAAAAATTTGGAGCTCCGTCGGTTCGTTTCTTAGGGTTAGCTCATTTTTTAACCAGAAGTGAAAAAAATCATTTTTACAGTCAACTGAGACGGAACCGTTGCAAGAAAAGCCGCGATACGCAGACATTCTACCTCGAAATGGTGCTATGTATCGAGAACAGTCACCACGAGGGTTTAGGTAAGCAAAAAAGACCATTTTGATTTACAAAAAAAAACAGTCCTCTTTGATGAAGCACGCTGGAGAAGATGAATCCATGCAAGAAGGGGTTTGCTTGTAGATAATCAGGTGCATTTCCAGAAGGAGAAGGGTGAAATCAGGGACTGATTAGAACTTAAGCAATCTGAATTTTTCGAAAGTTTCAAAACCAGTCAAAGCCACACAATCACTTGCACCGATTTACAACTTATATAGATAATATGAATTTTTCATGGCCCGTTTTGGGTCTCTTCTGGATTTGTCACTGCTACCCGTATAAGAAGTTTCTTATTTTGCTTGATTAGAGATCCATGTTCGGGTTATCATAGCCTTGCTAAACAAATCCGTAATGCCTGATATCATTCAAACACTATAGAGAAAGATTGATAAGTTTTAGCAAATATTATAGGAATATTATTTTCTACAATAGATAGTAAACAGTATAGTATCAGATATAAATAATCTCGAAAGTTTTAATAGAATAGGCTTTTTAGTCTGGGTAGGCCTTTCTTGGAAAGGAATGATTAGGAAAATCTTTACAAAATTAGAAAATTTAACGAGCTCTTATTTTTGATCAATTTGTAGACGGACAAGGGAAACATTGATGATGGAGCATTTTCAGAATGGACGACCGGCCGGGTCTACCGTCCCATACTTCAACCCCAGAATCTGCTTTAGTATCTTCCAGTAAACTACACGGATTTAACACCTCGGTATAGGCTGGCCCCACTCCGCACTGCCATACTACACTCCCATAATCTCAACGACTGCTGTTCATTTGTGCATTCCCGTTCTAATCGTTTACCTCATCAACCGTTTGTGCCTGATTTCATATCTTTTCGAATGATTCTTTCGCATTTTTTCCCTTGTTCTCACATATTATTTCTACTTATTATTTATCACTTTCACTCATGTACATTGCCATGACTGATGACTTGTTATTTGATCTTATTTTTGACGAACAATAAAAGTTCAAATATCAGTTGTTGCCAATAATAATTGTTTCCCTTCTTGCGCTGCATAAATAAACGGAAAAATGTTTCCTCGAGAAAATTTCCGTAGACTGCTGTCGTGATTAGTGTTAGCCCATTTTTAAGTAAATTTCGATTCAATTCTCAGACATAGCCAGTAAGCTCTATCTTTTTTATATTCCATTAAAAACAATTTTAGGGATCGAATTGGAATAAAATATTTTACAATGGAGACTTACTTGCTATGGTTTAAGTACTAATAAACGCAGAATTTCGCATTTTTAAATATAGCAAGGGTATTTTGATCGCAATTTATGAAGAATTTGAATGAATGCCTTCAGATTTTTTTCTATAAATTTGCATCTAAGAAAACTTTTTTACACATAAAATCTGCTCTGCTTCTCACGTGCATTAGTATACCAAGAATTAGGCCTTAATTTATTGTTTTGAATGAAGATTTCCGTTCGATGAAAAGAGACGCGCGAGAAAAAATTGGGTCAAACGTTAAGATTGACCAGTTCTTTGTGAACGTCTCATGAAAAGGTGAGTTTTGGATGTTTACTTATTGTGGCTTAAATATATACTAATAAAATATATTGGGATTGATTGATAATTGGGATTTTAGGCTTGGTTCGGATGTGATTGGAACTCTGTTGCAATGTTTGGAACTATTTCGAGTTTTGACCATCATATTCCACAATGAAAATGATGTTGAACCTCTGACTCTGCATTGTCGATACCGTGATTCCGAGGGAATAAAAATTTGAAATAATTTTTTTGCTCGAAATAATTAAACAGCGAAGAAATGCAGACAAATGACCTGCTTATCTGTATTGTTGCGCTTTTTCTCGAGCTTGATTTAGACGAGTTACGATGTCTCTGGCTAGGACGATTTTCATAGCTTTATCTCTTGTCTCAAATCTCCACCCTTCGGTCTCATCAATCCTAAAACTCACCGATTTCAACAAAGTCTACTTCACCAAATAAAGGCTGTTACCTGAGTGGATATCCGATGTGGGTCCCTGCAAGAACTGTCAATATGAAATGGTGAAAATGCTTGAAAGCTGGCAGACATTCATTATCCGCATCGTTTTTTGCTGCTGAGTAGCGCAACTGTAAAGCAAAAAATTGTATTTCTCGTGGACTGATCGTTAATTAAAATGCAATTTGTGAAATATAATTTTTTGGAATAATTTTATAGACTTTCTATATGTTTTCACCTCGAAAAATCCTGGTACTTACCTTTTTTGGTTCTGGCTGTTTCATCACGAAATTGATCACTTTCCTCAATGATGCTTCGTAATTTTTGATATTTGTGTACTCATCCCTTAATAAAAATATTGTATGCAAAATTAAAGAAATGATATACAAGCCTTACGTTAACATTATATCACTGTATCTGTAGAAAAGATCTCCTATGAATAGTCTTTTGTCATTCGCATACCATAGCACAAGGCTGTCCGGGGTATGTCCCGGGGTCCATATAACCTGCAAAACGATGTGGGACCCACACAAAGTTAAATATTTTTGAATCCTGCACCACTATTGCTTAGTATTCTTACACGTGTTTTTTCACGAAAAAACTTTTCTGAGGAAAAAAAGGCAAACGTAAAAAATTTCGCTTTTTCTCTCCAAACTCTTGCTGTCTTGATAATGGAAAAGGTGAGTCTCAAAAAAGCGCTAAAATCTGATTGTTAATATTGCTTTGTAGGTAAGGTTTACAATCGCTGCAGTTTTGCTGATTCCTGAAACGAAAACGACCGCTGATAATAAGAATAGTGTTTGGGTTTTTCCAATGATAAATAGTAAAGCTTGTTTAAACCATGAATTGACTGGTCAGCGATTCATTGAGTAGTTTTTTAAAAAAATAATTCAAAGAAGAGGAAAAAATTGTTTAGGAGAGTAAAAAACAACAAAATTGCGTCACTTATGCCTTGCACCTTGCGCGATAAAGACTCTATTACATGAAACTTTTGATTAAAGTGGCTTGGCAGCTGGAAGTCGGTGCTTTGTGACTTAATCAAGGCCGCTCGCGCCCGCAACGCACTCTGCGTCTCTCCCGCGCGCGTACTCTCTGATCATTACCTAGACTTAACTAGGTCACGAAGCCCGCCTTCCAGCCGCCGCTCCAATTGATCAAAGGGTACATGGTTTATTTGACCTTTACTCTTTTCTTTCCTAGAACAGCTCGTGTAGAAGCTTACCTGCACAACATTGCGAGCATGGTTTTTGTCTCCTAAAAGGATATTTTCGCCATCTTGCAACCATCTTGTCACCTTATAAGTGTTTATCTGAAAGAAAATCTCCCATTTCTTGAATATCTGTGGTTTTATTCACAGATTGTATCAATTTCTGCCTTGTAAATCCTATGAAAAAATTTCTGTTTGTTGACGAAGGATGAAACTTGGATAAAGCAAAAGTATTTCCTACTTGGAAACACCTCTCGATCTTGATTTCCAATTTTATGCCAACAAATAATTGTGATATACCTCACCTCCCAGTGCCAACTGCTGTTCATAAGTTTTGTATAATACTGATCGTTGCCAGAAGCACAAAGATCCTCAACCATATGTGAGAGGCCTAGTTTCCCTACTGTTGAAAATCGAAAATTTCCACCAGTCTGGAGGGCAACAAATTTATCAGGCTTACTGGAAAAGGTTCTACCTGTTCAGGATGATTGTGTGTATTCACAACTATGATTTTCCTATTTTCTAGGATTTGTTGTTGTTGTTTGATGAAGAAATAGATGTTTCCACAACCACATCCAGTGTCGATGACAAGCACTAGAAAATGAGTTGAAGATTATTTTTGAATATTTAACACATTCACGACAATGCTGATTTTTCGATTACCGTTTCGGACTTTTTTCGTCTTGTCAAACTTACGACCCACCCGCTGGTCGTATCGTCCGAAATGGTAATCTACTTAAAAATTCAAAAATGTCTCCGAAATTTCCCCCACAAAGGTTATCGATGGCGCTAATTATCAAAATATGATTTCAGTTTTTGGCATTGTACGGTAAGGTTACGGTAGTCAATCTGTACGAACCTAATCATCATGTAAAATAAAATCCAAAACGCAATTTTTCATGGAAATCCATGATACTCTATGATACCCACCCGTGGGCCATATTGTCCGAAACGGCAGAACACGTACGACCCACCGGTGGGTCGCATTGTCGTGAATGTGTCAACAGCTTACCTTTACTTTCTCCGACGACCAGATATGAAAGCGGAAAGCAACCTCGGGTATCCTCTTCGAGAATACTCCATATGTGATCAGATATCTGATTTAGCTGGAAATTTAGTTCTTCAGTGGTTCCACGTTGGAGAATATCCATCCAGGAAGGGAAGAATAAATGGCTAACTGTCCCATGTGCTCGCGTGTGAGCGATGATGTGCTGTTCAAGACTGCATTAGTTAGTAATGGATGGAGAAAAGTCCAACATCGTTTTCGGCTCTTGCATTTGTTATGGAGACGAAAACAGAGCACTCACTTTTTTATAATATGAGAATAACACAAGAACTTGGACACTTTTGGAGAGCACAGCTCAGAAACTCAGAATGTAGGCAAAGCTGATTATTTTAGGCAATGACTTGTTTAATATTATAATAATGAAAAAAATTTCAATATTTCAAGAATTACTCTATGCAGGTAATTTAAAAAATTTTAAAAATTTTTAAAAAATTTAAATTGGACTTATAAAAAATTTTTTTCGGAGGCACGCCCCTTTTTTCTAAAATTTTGGGGTCAGGCGGCCGCAAAAATTTTCGGAGTGCGTGGCTAACGCCACGCATCTTCATCCGAAAATTTTTTTGTCACCCCGCCTCCGAGCTGAAATCCTGGGTACGCCATTGCTATATCGTATGCATAAATTTATTGGTAAGCTCCATTTTGAAGTGAGCTTTATATAAAAAAAATTATGAAATAAGTAAGTTGCCTAGTATATCGTTCCTCTCTAAACTCCCACCTCTTTTTTTCTCTCAAAAATTTATCTCTCTTCTCGGTAGAAACAGACACAATAGAAATTAATTTTTATTTCTTTTTTCTTTGACAATATCAGCTCGAATTCTCATCAAGTCTTGAGGGACAAACTGCTTTGTGTTTTTCGAGCACTTGAGCGCGAGCAAATGATAGATTACAGTAGACACATCTAAATACACATTGCCTTATGAACAATTCTTGATAATGGGACGAGAAATTTACCTATGTTTCCTTTGCGGAAAATGTGTTTGTTCATGTGCTCTGAGATTGCTACGATCAGCGAAATTTCGGCCACAGAACGAACAAGCGTACGGTTTCTCACCTGAATGAAGTTATAAAACGGGCAAATCATTTTGATTATATCTTCACCAGAATTATCAAAAATTCTGAGAAGAAGTGAATCAAGATACGAGAAAAATTTGCTAATAGATACCTGTATGTGTTCGCTGATGACCTTTCAATAACCAAGGTCTACTGAAGCTTTTTCCACATTTCTCACAAACACACGGTAAGGAATGTGTTTTTAGATGCATCTTCAGTGCTCCGGGTGATCTGAAAATGGATATGAAGAAAACCTGAAATTCCTTTCATACTGTGAAAATGAACTTTGGATTTACAAACTTAAGAAATGCTTCATTCGAAACGAAAATTATGAATTCACTTTGAATAAAAAATGTACATATTGGCTCCTACATGTGTCGAATATGCCTATCATACATTTACTATAGGTGACCAAAATATGGCGCATTAAAAAAGGTCAAAAGAGTAATTCTCAATCTTTCCGAACCCTGTAAGTCTCATTAAATTCGCGACCATTAGTGGGTGCGGTGTTGATCAAAAAATTAGTTACAGAATCTATCACCTCGTAATTGCAATGAATACGTTCTGAATTGTTCGGCGCATTGAATATACTTTGGTTTTTTTGATAATCTTATTACTGAGACAAAAAATTATATGGAAAAGAAACAATGATTGTATAGACTTATGTAGTATGCACACCAAGACCGGAGACCGAGGATTTAGAGCGTTGAAAACGCAGAAGAATTGGCTAAAAATGTCCTACTATCAAATCAAAGTTCATTCTTTGTCGGATCTACTTATAAGGGACTTCTCATACCACGACATTTACGCAAAAATTGACTTCATGTCTAAATATTGTTTTTTGTTATTGAGCCAGAAATTGACTTTGTGTCTGTTCAAAATTGACTTTATGTTTATCGGAGCACGTCCACTAGGCCAGAGTTAATCATTATAGGTGTAAGACCGGAGAAGTTGAAAGTTTGCACTATGCAAAAAAAAACAGTTTTGACTAATTTATATGCCTATCTCCTACACTTCCAATTTCTAATATTTTCCCCCAACAGGGATTCAAAATCCCCACAAGTCACTACAATCAAGTTCGGCTACACTCACGGCACCTGTTTCAGAGCTTTCCGGTTTTCTTTGCGTTTGTAACACCCAGACGAACAGGTGCGCGCAGGTGTGCTCTCCTGCATCAAAATATTGCCACCCGGAAAAGACGAATCGAGGAGCTCCTATCGGAAGGGCTTCAGTTTTTCGTGGCTGACTACACCTACAGTATCTGATGGTCATCTTTGATCATTGTGATTACATACTCTTTGAGTCAGGAGTTATATACGGTAGGGGATCAAGGAAGAAATAAAAAAGATTAGAAAACCAAGGAAAACTTATAGAAAATCTCTTAGTTTGGGCAACAACTTGTGTTGAGCCCTCCTGCTATATCTCTGACGTTGGTTTTTTTTGAAGATATACATATTATATATATAATTGTAGTTTATACTCTTACTTGTAATGCTTCTGGCAATGAATGCATGTTTGATCCACTCGTCCGTCTTGATGACATTGCATGTGCCTCCGAAGTCCAAAAAATGTGAGGTAGGATTTTGAGCAGAGAGGACACTAAAAAATATTACTTTAGCAGTGATTAAACGAATCGAAGAAGGGCTTACTTGCATTCTATCAATTGCATTTGAAGCTTGTGAAGTTTCGGGAGAAATGAGGTCTTCTATGTCTGCAAAGAGATTTCCATTATTATGTAGAGCATTTGTGACGTTAAACTTTTGAGGACGATGCATGACTCTTTCCTTTTGTAGTTACAGAAATCAAATATTTTTCAAAGGTTAGACTATATTTTGTATTTTTTACGTTGAATCATTTAGATTTCCTTTAAAATACAGAAGGTAGGTCTCATTTGTATTATAAAAGCAGGATTCCGCCCAATTCTAGCTTGATACACTAATTTACAGAAAAAACCTTTTTTGTCTACTTGAAAAGTTTTCTGCTCCATAAAATGCACGTAGTTTCACATTTTTGTTAATAACCAGTATAATCATTCATCAATTCCTTAACCTACTAATTTCCTTGTCTTAAACTAGTAAGATCTTTGGCATACTGTAGATATCAGGTGCAATTCAATCATTTACCCGTGATTAAACAGATGACGCTGGAGTTAGGAATAACAACGAATTATCCCTGATTTATGCGCGTGCCTGCTGAATATTTGAAAAAAAAAACAATTTAGAAGCAGTAGGTTGAAGTAAAAGCATCATGTAAGGAAAAAGAAGTCGTGTGCCTAAATTGCGCTGCGCTATGGTGAAGCCAGTAAGCCTAGCCACCTTTTTATACCCAAATAATCGTATGTCTAGCAGAAAAAGCAAACTCACTCTCAAATATGGATCGTTTACGTAGGGAGGCCATAGCTTTGATGAGATGGTGTGATCACAGACGTACACTCACACTCACAAACCGAACAAGTGGTTGAAGGCAGCTGAGGTGATCAAGTAATCTGTTTCGCACTCACCTGTGCAACCTGATGGCCACAGGTGCTTTACACTGTGTGTGTGTGCCCCATCGCTTTCCCTCATTTCCCTTTGCCCTCAACCCCCGGGCATACGGTAGTCGTCAATGTTTCTGCCACCACGGCTGCGTTTACATCGTTGTGAATGTGTTACTGGATTTTTTTGTTCTTGGAAGAAAAGCTCTTCTTTTTTTAACATGGATTTGGATCATTTCTTCACAATAAACTTACACTTTAAAAGCTCTTGCTAATCCGAGATCCACTTCTCCTAGATCATAATATCGTCAAGTCATTCTTGACTTAATACGTGTAGTGCACACTACACAGCTTACATGACGAGCTGCGGGACTGGAACCTGCTCATTTCCAGTGATTTCTCCTTGTTTCCTTATTTCTTTTGTTTTAGTTGGTTGTATGTCAGTTAGTAGAACACATTTCTACAATTTGTTAAGCTAGAAAATGTTTTAGGAAGTTACTAGCATGGGTGCCGTCGCTAATAGGGCTTAGTGTGCAATCTCACATATTAAGTTACAAATGACTCGAGGTGATGTATTATGCAGATGCTCTTATATAGTGCCTCTGCTGCGAATTTGTACTCTCATCGACTTACTCGAAGGTTCCAGTACAGCCAGGTATAGTCGAATCACTTCATATAATCATGAGTGTAATTGCACACACAGTCCACCTTTGGCGTCCTCATACTGGATTTGCAATCGCAAAAACGCAAGAAACTTATCGATTGTTATTGATTACATAAATTTGAGGTGATTAGTATCTAAAAAGAAAAGAAATCGTTAAGAACACATTGGATACATTTACATGAAAGGTTGTTTCTTCTACGAATCCAGGATGGGAACGCCAAAGGTGGACTGTGTGTGCAATGACACCATGATCATACGAAATGATTCGACTGTATTCTGAAGTTTTTTTTTTAAATGTCTACTGGATCCTCTATATTTTTGTCAACACCACCTTTTTCTTTCGTCTAAATATACATGCTAATTTTTTTCAGGAGTTCTGCTCTTTTCCCAAGAATTCAAGGAATTTTCCTCCGCTTTTTTGCAGCAAAAATGAATTCCGACATGACTCACTATCAATCATGCGTAACCTAACGTGCACAGCGAACAATTAAGAAGTTCAAAACAAATCGGAAAATTCCTGGCATTTCCGCAGACACAAAAGAAAATGGAGGTTGAAGAATGTTCTGGAAATACCCTGTACGGTATCTGTGAAAGGGGAAGCGGGGAAGCGAAAATGAATCCAACGGATAGCTCTTTTTTCCTCCCTAATGTGCCAAATATGAGAATTCGCCAAAGTTTTAAAAGTGAAAGTTTAAATTTTAGAAAATGTAACGATTTATGTTACGACCTTATATCAATGTAATTACTGCACCTGTAATATAGAATACGACTTCACCACTTTTATTGGCAAAAAATGAACGACAATATAAGCGAAAAATTGACTAGCAATAAGTATAAAGCATGTGAATAGTCCATGAGATGGGAGGCGCAACATTTTCTCTACAGTACAATAAATTTTCCGTTTGATGTAGTGTACCTACGGTGCCGAGACTTTGCGGTAAAATTTACGCGTAGAAAAATAGCCACGTCAGTATGCCGGCAGTCTGCGCGCAAATAGGCGGCATTACTGGCATGGCTATTTCTCCAACGCGTAATTTTTGTTGCGAAATCTCGGCACCGCAAGCACACTATACTAAGCGGAAATTTGTTAAACTGTACTTTACAGAATAGGATTCTCGGACAGCTCAGGAAAGAACTGAGCAACAACGTCTCTATTGAACACAGGCGTCAACCGTACGCCGTCGGCCCAATCCCTGGCGAGAGGCCTGTTCAGGATCTCCTCGCTCATCCCCGGAGGTCGCAACATGTCCTCTATGGATTTCGTCATTGTAAGAGGCAACTTGCAAGAAAATCCAAGGCTTTGTGGCCTAAGAACTTGTGGCGCAGTGAACTGATGATCTTCTCCACGATGGTTACAATCTGTAGAAGAGCCTCCAACGAAGAGCGATGGGCAATTTGTGAGAGGAGCAGCTGTGATGGTTCGGTGCTCGTCCGAGTGTACTGTAGCGGAACCGTTATGGTTGTTGGACATGGTGAGAAGCAGGTCGTAGACTTCTGGATTGACGACGTCGGTAAGGATTCTTCGATAGGGAAGCTGCTTTATATTGTCACGAGGATATGATTGTCGTAATGCTGGGAGCAGCATTGCAGAAATCGCCTAAATTGGTTGTTTTTACGGGTGGCTGCATTATTTTTGAAATTAATCTGAGAATAATCAAAGGCGCTTCTCATTCCGAGATTAAGATAATTTCACCACCTTGCCATAGGTCTATCATTTCAAATGAAGGAGCAGGTCAAAAAACTTGAGACCTAAACTTGGGCAAACCAAAAATTCGATGGTTTTAGAATAAAAAAATTAGAATATAGTTCTAGGTCTTCCTTCCATGCTGAGGAGTTCCGAGGAAGACCTAGAATTTATTTTAAACTCCATCTAAGAGAAGCGACAAAACGGAGTGTCGTTATTTGATGTTCTCACAGAATATTCTAAATTCCTTCAACTTTAGCTATGGTCACTCTTGCGCGTTATCATTTCAATTTTATTACTACCTTATTATAGTACAATAAGCAATTGTTGACAAAAAGGAATCGAATTCAGATTAAGCAAAACTGAAGAAGTCCGGATTAGAGAGATTCTGAGAAATAGTCTTGTTTCTTCAAATTTTCTTCTTCAATTTAAGAATGACTGTTTGTAGATGCCAAGAAAAGTCTGGGAACAGTGGTTTCTGCCCTCATAACTAATTTTGCCTTTTTCCCATTCAGAATTTCTCAACAGTTAGTTGATTAGTTCGGTCACCAGTCTATTATAAGCAAATTTTCAAAATTAGTTAGATAGTTCTGCACAAAGTGCTCCGTGCGGCATGACAAAACCTTGAAAACATCTCGGAATCCTAAAGGGCCGGGCATATTTCACGCGATTTGACAATATTCCAATTGTCCATAACTTACTCTAACCACATTTTAAATGTAAGAAGATAGAGCATTTTATCAATCCACGTAAGTTATACACACTATGCAGGTGCAGTTCGCTAGTGTTGGATATGAAGACTTTTGGCGAATTGCCAAATCGCGTGAAGTATGCCCGATCCTTAAGGAAGATCCACCTTGGGTTGAAAATTGTAAAAACTCAAAGTTGAACTTATCTTTGACTCGTAGACCAAAGCTATCAAATTGCTCATAATGCTAGCTGCAGCGGCTGATGACTTTCCCCTCAGCAATTTTATTACCCGAAATAGCAGCTCTTGCAGGGATTCATGCAAATCGCTCAAATGCTCACTGAAGCCGTTCGAAAGCACTTCACGATCTAAACACACAACGTTTAAAGAATGGGTCCCGTAATGAAAAGATGTACCTGGTGTGGAGACAGCCAGTGCTCGAAGAAGGGAATATTCCATTGGCGTAGGGGAAAGTTTCTTCAAACGCTCACATATGAACACAAATCGTGATAAGGCGCTTTTTTCACTGAAAAAAAATTTTGAAGCAGAAAAAAATTTGAAGTAGAGGAGTTGTCTTAGACCTCATAACTCACATTTGGTAATGTTCAAAAGCTTTCGTCAGCTCATCCGCGTAGAATGAAGAATCTTTAGCTATAGCTCGAGCAGCATCATCGAGAAGGTTCAGCGTAAGAAATGTAGAACTGATTAGCGAACACTGAGGAGCACAAATAAGAAAGATACCGTATTCAGCTTCTGCTTAGGACCTACCTTATCTTCCACAGTAGTTTTACGTGACATGTCTTTATCGATAATGGAAACAAGCCCATCGATAAAGTCAGTCGTTGCCACCACCCTTTGGATAGAGAGAAAGCCTGGAGCAAGATCTTGTTTGGCAGGTATTCGAGTTTGATTCTGAAAATACTGTAAATGAAATAACTTTCCTGTATTTTCAAGGTCCTCTTACAGCGGTGCTTTTTCTGGCCAGCGTACGATCAGCAATAAGACTTTTTAGAGAAAAATCAGCAACTGCATCATAGGCGGAATCTGTCAGAGTTTGCACATCATTTTCCAAAGCGTTCAGCTCACTCAAAAGCTTCCTAAAAATTTTTTTAGAGTACTAAGCCGCCCATGGACTGCTAAATTTTTACCTAGAATGGCTGGGCAACTGCAGAGTCCAGTCATCACCATCATTTCTACCCGATAATGTTCTTCCTAGGCTTTTCTTCTTGGACAACAGCGATTTTTGGCCACGAAGCTTTTCTCGAACCTCCTCGCGATCGGGTCGGACAACTGTAACAGCTTCTTTAGTGCTAGATATCATATTTCCAAGCATATACTTACAATCAGGGTTCATGCCAACGAGCAAACATTTCCGGAATCGACAATATCGACAAGCGTTGCGCTCGACTAGAACAAACAACTGAATCAAAGAAGTACGAAAGTGTTGTGAATTTAGTAGAACGTTTCATAAACTCTTGATTTAAAGACTCATAGAAAAAATGTTTGTATAAACGTCATATAAAGATAAGTGAATTTATAACATATAAAACAGTTGGAAAATATGCTGTTCTAGTTCCTCTTTTATACGAATAAAAAACTTCCATTAAATTGAGAGCAAGCCAAAAAGGTCAAATAATAATTTTCTCTTTCAGTCAAAGGTAAACTGTTGCCTTAAAGGAGTCAAAAATTTTCTAGAATTACTTACATTTTGTAACTTCGCAGTTCTTGTCGAATCTGCAAACGTATTTGTTCCGTCCATCTTTGACAGCTCGACGAAAAAATCCTTTACAGCCAAAACATGCTAGTACACCGTAATGGATCTGAAAAAAAATTCATGCCAGATATATTGCTAGATTTTAGGATTATCTAGACCGATATTTGCGTTTTCAGTTTATGACAACTTCCTGCGTTTCACTTGAAGTCTATGTATGAAGTGTGGCAAATATTGTTATGGCCATATGATAAGTAGGAGGTTGAAACTTTTCTTCAAGAAAGACTCGTGCATCACCATGTAGGATAAGTTTAATGGAGAAAATCGCTAATTTCTAGTAATTTTTGTAGATGGAATTCCAGCTTCAAATGTTCCCCCCCCCCCCTCCCCTCACGTATTTCGGAGTTACAAGCGTCCAATGTACAGAAACTCTCCAGGGTACTAAAATCCAAATAATATGTACCCTCGCTGCCCGAAATTTTGGTCCTATTTGGCTGCTGGCGTACGATGCCCATTTTTAGAAGAGTTTACCAACTATTATATATTACTCACCTTAGCAGGGTAGTCTCCACAAACAGCGCATCTCCTTTGTCCTGCGCTGTTTATCATGGTTTCTTGAGCCCTTTGAGACTATTTATCTGAAAGTACGAATTATCTGAAAGGAATCCAGCTGGAAATCGATTTGACAATCGGTAACGGTCGATCAAACAACTTGTGGCGAGGGACGAGGGATGGCAGAGAGTGAGGTGAATAGGAGGGTGACGAGTGATTGGGCAAAGCGCACTTCGGCAGGACCAGTCTCTGGGATGACATACAGCATTTTTATTATGTACTTTATGCATAGTACTGTCCTTAACAGTTACTAGTAGCGAGTGCATCATGATTCCTTTGGGAGCCTCTATTTTGGCAGAAATAAAAATTCAAACTTATATTTTCAAAACTGAATCTCAAGACTACCGCTACTCGCGCAGAATGTATATTCTCACCATATCAGCTCGAATATTGGTTGTGAAAAAATATATAGATGATCGATACCGATGGAATCGACGGAGTATGTATACCGAGAGGATTATTTGCACGCCATGACGTGAACCTGTTGCCCTGGCCGCGACTGACAAAAAATTTTCGCTATGCTATTAACAAATAATTGTTTGGATAACGCACACCGTGATTGTTATGTAACCGCACGGCACAAAGTGATGCTCCCCCGGAAGACACTGTGGCGGGGCTGGAACATTTGTATTTAGGTGCCAAAGCGATTTTGTTGGCAAGTGGGCATTGCTTGAATAGACCAATGTAACCCTCACTCATGGGACCATTACACAATGTGTTCATAGCCTGCCAAGTCTCTATCTTCTTCGAAACGATGCCGGAGAGATTTTCCAGCCCGAGCACGCATGAATGGGATCAATCGCTTTTGTGTCTTCCTCTTATTTTCACTTGCGAATGATAATCAAGGTGAAGCTTGGAGTTTAGGGGTTTATTGAAAGGTCAGGGGCCTTGATTGCAATGATTAATAGTATGCCGATAACCCCGTTGTGCAATGTACAGACACACTGAGATATTGACCACTCAAGCCATCAATATTTGAACCAAATTTTGCAGACATAATGCATAAGGTAGGCAATTAATAAGCCATTTTATTTAAAACATACTTATTGCTTCTATCAATTTATTTAATTTCTGCAGATTTTGCGAAATCTTTAATGTACGCCCAAAAAAGATAGAAGGAGTCATGGAATCTAAGCCAAGTCTTGCAGACATATATGAGATGGGGCGTGTCTTAGTAAGTCATTTTAATTGATACGTACTAGATCCTATCGACTTACTGATTTTTTGCAATGTGTGGAATAACCGTGCTCAGAATGTTGAATTACAATTAATCGATAAGACCGATATTATGGCTCAGTTTTCTTCCTGCGCAGGTTATGAATCGAAGCAATCCGTGCGAAACAACAAATTTTTGCGAATTTTCATATTTTTCTATAGAGTGAAAAGAAAGCTTTACGAGGCAGCGAAGCTGCCGAGTAGCAACCGAGCCTGCGGCGTGGCGGCAGAAGCACACACCCCGTTTTGGTTTTGGTTTTACACCGTTTTGGCGTTTTGCCACACCTCAACACTTTTGCACAAAGATTTTTTGCGAACACTCCATCAATGATTCGATAGCCTGCATTTGTTTTTAGCGAAAATAGTTTGAATGAAATTTGTCTTCATTCACTGGGTAATGATCGCTGGAAGCGTAACCGCTGAAGACAAGAATTAGGTTTTAGCTGGGTTCCTAATATCACAATTAGGAGCCTATGCTATTTGAAGTATGTTCCTCAATGTAAGCCAACAAGGGGTAGTACTCTATTTGTGAAAAGAGGTAAATAACTCATTATCAAAACAAAGCCAATTGTATAGCATGTACGACTCTTGATAAATCTCGGCATAGTAGTTGAGATTGATGTCTTGTAGCCAACGCCGAGATTGTTACAAACTTTATTGGCCAACGTTTCGGCTTCTCGCCTTCGTCAGGGCCTGAATGGGGTATCGATTCGTAACCCAGACGGGCAAATGTCTTTACGGCCTTACGAAAACGGTCTAAGCCTTAATTTTGGCCAGTAGCTTTGCAACAGTTACTCACCACACAAACAACACCCTTGGTAGAACGACCGCTGGGCTGACCTAAATGGGAGGTCAGCATAGTTGGCTTAGATAAGGAGATAGTTCTCTCGTAATTGCGAGACATTCTTCTTTACGGTTAATTTTTGGGTTCCTAGCATGAATCCACAATGCTTCTAGAAACTTGCGAGCAGCCGTCATAGGTTCACGTAATATCTTTACGGTCACTTCAAAACTCGATCCTTCATGCCTTAGTACTCTGTGTGTTCCTAACGGAGTAGAAGTTCGCTGTTTATCCCTGCCATCTAGGTGTTCTTTTATACGAATACATAGCGGACGTGCGGTTTCACCTACATACTCGTCTCCGCAGACGGTACAGGAAATGGAGTAGACCACCCCAGTTGACATGCAATCTCCGCTTTTACCTCCTGGACATATGATACAATTGTCCATAGTACAGCTGCTATCATACATGCGATATCTTACTAAAATGCGCTTCAGGTTGTTCGGTGGCACTTCTACTATCGACACCAAATCAACTAGTCCTACTATCTTAAGGCTTCTGCGCATTGCTGTACTTATCTCGGTGGAGATGAACGGGGCGTAAAAAGGGATCTTTTCGTTGGGTTGGTCTCGCAAACTCTTTCCGTGCTTCGTTGTACCTGTGAAGTTCCCCGTACCCATTCGAGGAAGCTATTTGACGCGCAAGCTCGAGTGATTCTTTTCTTTCTTTCTCTCCACTACACACCTGTGAAGCTGTTCGAAACATATTCTTAATAACAGCTCTTTTTGTCCAAGGTGGGTGAGCGGATTGAAAATGAATCAGGATATTCTCATTGCTCGGTTTACGGTACCACTTCGTCACGTGCATACCCGTGGTGATGTTCACTCGCACGTTTGGAAACGGTAACCAATCGTTTTCGGGCTTCTCTCTCGTCAGTTTTATATTCTCTGATTGCTTATTGAGTAATTCAAAGCATTCATCAAGCTGTGTTTGTGTCGCGCAAATCACAAAGCAATCATCAATATATCTACAGTAGAGTAAGGGACGGTGTTCCAGAACAGGTGCTTCTATTTTGGCCATGAATGCTATCGCGAGTGCCGGTGCTAAGCGTTGTCCCATTGCTAGTCCTCGTATTTGCATAAAGTAGCTCCCAGACCATCGAAAAGTATTACATTCTAAACACACTTGCAATAGAGCCATGATTTGTGATATGGATAATCCATGAAGGTCCAGGGATTTTTCATGGCATATTAGCAGTTCGCATATAGCTTGCATCGCGGATTCGTTGCTCACATTTGTGTAGAGAGCATTCACGTCAAATGATTCCACGATGCATTTACTATTGATACTTGTTTCGCGTAGTCGGTCTAAAAACATTTGCGTATTGGCTAGATGCGATGAGATGAATCTAAGTAGTTGAACGAGTATGGTATTGATGAACTATTCTATCCGTAGGCCCCCTACACCGCTTATTATTATTGGTCAACTGTGTTCCAAAATGACCATCTTACCCCATTTGGTTTCGCTCAACGCTGAAACTTGGTTCAAATGGGTTATTTGTCTGTTGACTACGAGAACGAAATTCGTTGTTCTTGATAGGACCTTCTCGAGCTTACGATGTACTTAACTATAATCAGGGGTCTTATAGAAACGCAACTCAGAGACGACGGGTTTGTGCCACACCTCTTGTTCGTGATGCTAACCTGAATCATCTAACATGATTATACCATGACTGGTTCATCCTTTCTCGTTCACATTCACATTCACCTATTAAGCATTGGCTACAAATCTTATTCCTGCAGTCAAATCTTATTCCTGCAGTACCACTCAGAAAGCTGACTGGAACTTCCGCAAAACAATTGTGAAAGTTCTGCTAGGTCACCTGTGGAAGTTCTAGAACCCGAACCAAAGGCAAAATGTTTCTAACTATCTCAGGCTGTGAAGAAAGTGACGACGCCGAAAGGTCAGCCCAAAATAAAATTATCAAGCTTGGCGCAAAGCTCAGAAAACAACCTCAAACTTTTGAAGTCCCGGTGAATTGTACAATACCGCTCACAGAATGTGCAAATTATCCGTGAATGTTGCGAAATTCCGAAAATTCCGCGAACTTTTCGGAATTTCGCGAAATTTCGGAAAGTTCGCGAAGTTTCGCGAAATTCCGGGAATTTCGCGGAATTTTCGGAATTTCGCGAAATTCACGGAAATCTTGCATATTTTGTGAGCGGTATTGTATGAGTACTTGAACTTCGGGAAACCAGTGCTCAGGATTTATGTCAATATTTCAGGTCATCATAATCCTGTTGTGCGAACATGTTCGTTAGACGCATCACTGCATGTACAATCAAAATGGAATCTAGGAGATCTCCGGTAATGAAACCGTGTGCCTATTAGTAGTTCAACTCGATTTGTGGAAGGCTGCAGAAGTTTCAACGAAGATGACGGTGTCGGTACGCGGCTGTCTTCTAAAAGGTGTCATTAGTAATCGGCTAAAGAAAGACAAATATGGTTATTAACATTTCAACTGGTATATTCAATGTTCTCACAATGAAAGATGGGCTTACTTAATCAAGACTAACTCGATGTCTCAAATCCTGGCGGCGTTATCGCAGCTCTGCCGAAACCAGTTTGTTTGGCTGCTTAAGCTAGATGCTGTTTCGCAATCAGGGAAAATGGAAATTGGAAAGAACTCAAATTACAAAAATGGAAAAAATCCAATCCTGAAATTTTTTCAGATAGAGAACAAGATTGAAAGTTTATTGGAGGATTTTAACATTCTCCTGCTAGACATAATGCATCTCTTCGTTGGCAGTCAAATACAACTTTCCGTACAGGTATGCCTACGAGAAAATGACGAATTCGCCAAAGTTTCAGGCACCAAGAGCGACTTGACCACTGTACCGTAATATCGAAGATGAACCAATCAAAAGATGTTGATCTAGATACCATGCCAAGACTGACATTCCGAGCGCTGATGTCAATGTAATTTGCCAACAGGTATATTTCTAATATTGCTTTTGCTTGGTGAAGT